AATCTGTTTCTTGTTCTTGTTTAATTCTAATTAATCTCATTTTGGTAGCTCAAGCTCATATTAAAAGAGGCCACATTTATCATGGAATGTTTCTGCTAACTTTTAATTAACACTAGTACTTATTTCTTAGCTATTAACAGTTTTCTAGTAAAGTACAGAAATCAGAGAGTGAAATTCAATACCTATTAAGACCTTTTTTTAAGACTCTTTTGAAGATATTTGAAGACCTTATAACCACTTTAGGTTCCAACCGGAAACACTGGCGAGATTTCTACTTACAGTATATTTAAATATTAATGTAAGAAAAAACTAATCCAAAACTAAAACATTATTCATATACTGAATAAAAATCTATTAAATGTAGTTGATTCAGCAGGTGGGCGTTTAGAGAACTGCAGAAATAACAGGGTTGCCTTGATTACTGCAATAAACAAAGCAGCATGATGTCAAATCTAGCAGGATATTATTGATTTCATAAACTACACAGCATCCTGATATTGACTAATTTAATTCAGGCAAACTTTAGCATACAACCATACATTGCATAATCAAAAATGATATAAAATTTAGTACCTTGCAAAATAGCATTTAGGACTTTTTAAAACTTTTTATAGGCCTTAATTAAATTTCTCTACATTGATTTATCAACTTTTAATACTTTTAAGACCCCGCAGACCGCCTGTAGTATATTACTGATCACAAAACACATTAGATTAAAGTAACACATAATTAAAGTAATGATTAATGCTTTTAGGTAATATATCTAACCACTTTTGAATTACTTCTGATCAAACTTTTTTTCAGTCTCCAGAAATTTAGATATAAACTAGCAAACTTTAGTGTCAAACACTAGAAAGCTAATATAAACTATTTAAATAGTTACTAATATTTAAGTGGCAAGTGACAAGAAAAATGAATAACAAGGCACAGTATATAATACAAGTACAGTATAATGTCTAGTACAATCATTTTAATAGCAAAATTATAATACATTTGGTGATTTAGCAAGCAGTAAATATTTATGTTTCCCAGTACTGAGTTGCGGCTGTAAGGGTATTAGCTGTATAAAACATATGCTGAATAAGTAGGTAGTTCATTCCGCTTTGAGGAGCCTTGATGAATAAAGAAAAACGAAGGAAAATGAATGAATGAATGAATGAATGAATGAATGAATGAATGAATGAATGAATGAATGAATGTTTATGCCAATGAACAGGTGGGAAGAGCATTCAAATATATCTAATATTTGAACTTAAGCAACTCTATGTCAAAATGTTTTCATTTATTGCCTGTATTTTAATAATATAGATTAACCTTTAAAAAAGCTGTTAGAGAGATTAAGAAGATGCTATTCACTATATAAGCTTTTTTGTTTATAGTTTATCTATTGTGATATCATTAGATCTGTTTCTAATTGTTCAAACTTCAGGACTGTAAATGAAAGTTATCAATCCTCACATCATTTCCTCATTCTGGTCTGTTTATCTCTGTCGACCTCCTGCTGAAGGGAAATCCCTGTGTTGCGTTGATATTTCATCAGATGTTGTGTTGTCAGGTTGTCACCTCTTCAATCACCAATAACGTCCGTCTTTCATTCATTGCTTTTAATGCAGATTTTCAACCCAAACACAGCTTTTGCTTTATAGCTAACCCCCACACAGATTAATAAACCAGAAAGTCACATTTAAATACAACACTTCGACTGATAAATTAGCTACAGACGATAAGAAATATGATAAAAACATAGCCGGGTTAGCTTTGGTTAGGTTGCCAGCTGCAAGCACTCCGTGGACAGCACGTAAAATCGTGAAAATGTCAAAATGTTATGCGCATTAGAGAACAGGATTAAAGCAGTCACCTCAGTATTTCAACGTACTGTCATGTTATTATGATGCAATTTTAGTAAACTCGCGAATTGACTGCGACTAAGCGGACTCTGTTTGAGGCCTACCTTGCTGGAGAAGTCGATGCCGAGATCCACGGTCTCGCCGTTGAACATGTCCCCGTCATCGAAGCAATCCGACTCGTCATCATCGCCGCATCCCCGACCTGGAGCGAACATGCTAGCGGGAACAACAGACTCTGGTAGCCCCATGGCCCCAGGATTAAAAACAGGATCCGTCGTTGTTAACGATGCCATCTCTCGGGCAGCGGCTATTAAAATTTAGCTTAAACAACTTTAAAACGATGCGACTTTTGGGGGAACAATTGTAAGCTGATACAGCACAAACACATTCAGACTGTAACGCCGCTCACCGCTAGGTTAAAACCTGCTGCGTCGAGATAAACAAGTATCGCTACATATTACTGCTATCAGGACAACATGCTAAACAGATAATCGGCTAGACTGAAATCAGACGGTTCCTCACTTCACACATTTACGTGTTTGTTTAAATAAGTTCAGAAAATGAGTCATGAGTGTTTTTCTCCTGCTCATGAATTATTCACACACATCCTGACCAATCGTTTCCTCCAGAACCGCCTCCATGTGCATTAATAGCCAATGACAAATCGTGGGCGGTGCATATATTTACTTGATTAAAATATAATTGCATAGCAAATGATGCAATCTTTACTTAGCAAGTAGCAAGGTTTGTTTCAGTACACGCTTGAGTAAACAGAAACAGAACAAAATAAAAATAAATAAAAAATACAATAAAAACTGGGGGAAAATCTATTAAAATGCTAATAATGGTGCATATCAGTGGATCACCATACGATTGTATTTAGAACCATGACAGTGAAAACACTTCAGTTGATGCAACTGAGTGAGGTACCAGTGAAATCACGTGCTGGAACAAACATGTAGGATGACTATCTTTAAAAAAATGTTTCCTGATTATTATGTTACATGTAATAAACTAATGTGAACTTCAGTTATTTCGCCTTTGAATATGTAGCCTATGTAAATCTAAATCTTTTGAATACCTACTTGTATTAAAAAAAACTATTATAACTTAACCTTTAGCGGAATGTACAGGCTACTCAATCTATATGGAAAGCACAGCAAAATATGAAAATAAATATAGACATAATTATGTTTAATAATACACAAACAAAAAATATATATAATTGCAAATCAGTAATAAAAGTCAATAGAAAAAACAGCAATAATATAATTATTGAGCATGAAATTAACCTCTTTGGTCTGATTTTTAACAACACATTCAAATGTTGATATTGTCTGATGATATTATCTGATGATGATGATTTTCTTAATTGACATGCAAGTAAACAAATATCTCAGAGTTATTTTTAATATATATTTGAAATCAGAATTATTTGCCTAAATTATTAGCCCCCATTTATTTTTTCCCCAATTTCTGTTTAACGGAGAGAAGAATTTTTCAACACATTTCGAAACATAGTTTTAATAACTAATTTCTAATAACTGACTTATTTTATCTTTGCCATCATGACAGTAAATTATATTTGACTAGATATTTTTCAAGACACTTCTACAGCTTCAAGTTTAAAGGCTTAACTAGGTTAATTAGGTTAACTGGTTATTGTAATTAGGCAAATCATTGTATGATGATCATGTTGGCTTGTTCGGCAGACAATGTAAAAAAATATAGCTGAAAGGGGCCAATAATTTTGATCTTAAAATGGTTATTAAAATTAAAAACTTTTATTCTAGCAGAAATAAAACAAATAAGACTTTCTCCAGAAGAAAATAATATTATTAGACATACTGTGAACATGTCCTTGCTTTGTTAAACATTGGTTGGGAAATATATTAAAAAAAAAAAAGGGGGGGGGGGGGGCTAATAATTTTGACTTCAACTGTAAACATTACTTAATAATATATTATTTATTTTAATGTTAATATTGTTTAACTTTATTATTATTATTTCTTTTTCATCTCACAAATCTTACAAAAAAGGTCCCAAATACACTGTCTTTGTCTTAAGTGGTCCTATGTCTCTTGAGCCAAGAATCAAAGGCACATTGTAGTGCACTAAAAGTTTCTCCTACCACAGTTTATGGTCTGATAATATTTTTCTTTCCTTTACTGTATTAGCACTATTGTGTCTTCCTTTTCTTTTTCATTCTTTTATTGCCTGTTTTAACACATTTTAATCTGTTTTTATCTGTTTTAAATAATTTTTTTCCTATACTTGTCTTTTTTATTTTTGTTTATGTAAAGCTCTTTGATTTTCCGCTGTGTATGAAATGTGCTATAAATAAGCTTGCCTTGCCTTTAGTAAAAGCACAAAAAAGTTTGCAACTGGACAGAACAATCACATCTGCCACAATGCTAAGGAAAGTGCTCTTTAAGCATTATAGTTAGTTGTTAGAGTGTGAAATCCTCATTTAGCTTTACTCTAGCAGATAACCATGAAGTTTGTGATAGCTCTTAAAATAAACAGAAATGTGTTTCACTAATTCAGTGCTCACAACAATCAATGAAATTACAGATTATTTCTAGCTCAAGTTTTTGACAGTAAGCCTAAATGCCTTAAAGAGAAAGTATGCCGTTTGTCAAATTAAGTTACAAAGATTGACGATTTGGCCATGAAACCCCCCTGCTGTTTATATTTGACAGTTTATATTTGACCACCAGATGGCGGAAGAGGAGTGTCAGTAAAATAGTAGGCTAGTAAATAAGAATATCCTATAAGTAGGCTAGTGACTATTTTAAAAAGTGGTAGTAATTAAACAATACTTACTAGCACTAAATAAATGTCAGCAGCTAATAAATAAGAGCTATTTAATGGAGGGCGGGGCTTTTCTGTCAACATTTTTTTCCTTTTTTTTCTGTCAAAACATGGAAAGTTTGGGAACCCCAACGTGACAATTCAGTTGTGTGGTAAGATGCAATGCAATTAGCACAATTGGATAGGATAACTATTACTTTTCGACAAAAAGCGAATAATATTCTGTGATACAGCTGCCAAATTGGACTAAGCTATTTTACTAAATAACGAGGCAATAAACCTTTTGCCATTTCCCCCAATATTATGCATACAATCTTATTCGTATTAAAAAAAAACTTAGTTTAAGTTTTTTTTTTTTGTTTTTTTTTTTGCCATTTTGGTGTAGTTGTTATTATTTAGACCTAATTTGAATAATTTCGCCAACTCGTCTAATTAACTGAAAGAAAACGTATATTTCCCTTTAAAGTCAAACCCTCTGCCCTGTTTGTACAGTAGCCTGCTGCTGACAGTGGCATCGAGAGGTGGGTCAGTTTTTTCTTGTCTTGTCATTGGGCAAATGTTCATGCGCTGCCCCGCGCGCACCATAACAAACGAGAGCCCAACATAAACAAACTGTCAGTAACGATGCTTTCTCTCGTCCTTTGCGTCCTGTTTGCACTTCAGCGCTTTGTTCTCCAAAGTGCATCAGAGTACTCGTCCAAATCCGAACTGGATTACGAATTCGGTGACTATCGAGGCAAGTTCTGCATGGACGATCAAGGATTTGTTTATGGCATCGGACAGGTTTATTACCCGGGCTCCACAGCGTGTCCATGCACCTGCACAGAGGACGGTCCCGTGTGTGTCAGACCCAAGTGCCCGCGGATACACCCGAGATGCACGCGCATCAAATACAAGTCCTGCTGTCCCGTATGTGAAGCGGTCAGTAAAGTTTGCTTGTTCCGCGGCAAAACTTACAGAGTGCTGGAGGAATTTAGGGTGAGTGTGACCTTTTTCAGGTCTTCCTTTCTTTTTCGTTCTTATTAAATTAATTTAGGCCAATTTATTTAGAACTTAGGCTATTTATTTAGCCGTATGCCTGCAGTCTACCTGAATGCATGTAAATTAAAGCGCCTGCTGTGGCAAGCATAAACATGACGTCACAGTTTTTACAAAATCGCCTTTTTGCTCTCTATTTATAACTTAATATTATTTTTACCTTTCTTTTGGTGTTTAATAATTATCTGATTGATTAATTTACTTACTTATTAGGCATATGCATGTAGGCTACTTGTTTTTTTTAAATAACAAACATCGATACACAAAAAAGACAATGACAGTAACAATGATAATAACTTAACAGATCAAGTTAAATTATATTATATATTATAAACACATATAAAACAGTAAAAAAAAAGGAAAAAACAAATCAACATACATTAATAACGCAGATACAGCTAGACTAAACTTCCTGGAATGTGTTGAAGCAAGTTGGAGCTAAACTCAGCAGGGCATCAGCCCTAAGTAAAATAGCATGAATCTCACAAATTTGTTGGTTCTTTATATTTATACCTATACAAATCATAGCTTCCTAAATATTAAACAAACAAAAAATAGACAACTAAAAAAGTTTATATTTTTATGTCCTGCCATTATCTGAGAAATTCATGTTTTGCCTGTTCTGTCAATTAATTATAATAATAATAATATTAATGCCCTAATTGAATTCTGAAGTAATTAAAAGTAGTTCTTGTTTAAAACAGTTGTCACCCTGTGAGCGCTGCCGGTGTGAAGTCAACAAAGAAGTTTACTGCACCATATCCGGCTGTCCAGCTTTGCATTGTGTAAATCCTGTATACGAACCCAACCATTGCTGTCCGGTGTGCAAAAGTGGTAAGAGTTTACACATGCAACATCACATGTGCATTAACAATTTACCCAATTTTTTTCTAAACATAATCACATGCACCTTTTAAACTGTTGTGCAACTCTTGAGGATCAATGGAGTTACATTGGTTATTTCTTGTCTGTTGATTGATTTGTGCTCGATTACAGCATACTTCTGGGTGATGTCATGGAAAAAGAGTGATGCAACGGAACTGTTCGATAGATTGCGTACTACCATGCGGGGTATAAATAGGAACTAGATCGTGGCGTGCTGGGATGGCACAGGCACTATGGGGCATTGGGCCATCCCTGACAACAGAAGGCAAGAGCTGGACAGATTGCGTGTGATAAGTTTGTTCATGTAGAAATTAGAAAGTAATGTGTGGAGACTTCAAAGCATGCAGATTTTGGCTATGCATTTGTGCAGTCATTTTGGCAAATTTGCACATTTTGGTAAATCTAAGAAGTCGCCCTCTTAATTAAAAAGCCATTTAATTTTAGTTTTATCTTATAGTTCTAGGTTATGGTTAGGTTTAGAATACCTAAGCTTTTTTGTCAACTTAATATGATAAGATCCACATTAGAGATAAATCTAAGAGGTAGTTAAATAAAATATTTGCACACACATCACATACTCCCTATGAAAGCAGAAGTTGACTCATAATAGTGATGTGAAGGTTTGCCACACAGACACAATTTTAACTGTTCTTCATCTTAAAATCTCCTCTTATAAAAAAAAAAAAAACAGAACTTGGGCTTCCCTATGACACATATATGAGTAAAAAATAGTATTAATTGATATAAGAAAAAGTTGTATTAATGTTAATGCATTTGCAAACAATGAACAATGTTAACTAATGTTATCTAGCATGATCTGTCATTCAATAAGACAGTAAATGTTGAACTATGATAAAAAAAGATGCTGAACAAATATTGTTCATTAGTTCATCTTAGTAAATACATGAACTGACATTAACTAATGAAACCTTATTATAAAGTTTCCAAATTATATTGAAAAATTGAACACAACTGTTGTATTTGTTAGTATTTTATGCAAGTTTGTGTTAAAACAACCATTTTTATGATGAAATATTTGCATTTTTAGTGCATGCAATATACTTAATTCTTTCAAGAAGGAATATTTATTTGTGTAAATTACAGAGGTTTATCCTTTGTACAGCTTTTTCAGTCTTTGGAATGGAATTTTTATTTATAAATTAATAAAAATAGAAAATGATACAAAGTTGTTTGTATAATTGATGACAATTATCTCATCACACTCAGTTAGGAATTACATGAATCACATCAAAAACTTAATTAAATTAAATTAAATCTTAATAAAAAGGAATTTAACTTTAGTTTTATCTTAGTTCTGGGTTATGGTTAGACTACCAAAGCTTTTTAGTCAACCTACTAAGATAAGATCCACACCAGAGTAAAGTCTATAAGGTAGTAGCATAAGCTGACCTGTAAATATAAATGATGTGACTGTTCTTCATCTTAAAATCCTTTCATAGAGAAACAAGATCTTGGGCTTCAGCAAAATAGCAGCCTTATACCATGTATATAACACATATATGTGGTAAACCGTGTATTAATTAATAAAAATAGTTGTAATAATGATACTTAATGCATTTTCAAACAATGCAAAATGTTAATTGTGCATTAACCAATGTCCTCTAGCATGATTTACAATTTAAGTAATACATTAGTAAATGTTTATCTATGATTAAAAATGCTGAGCAAGTATTGTTCATTAGTTCATCTTAGTAAAAACATTAACTAACATTAACTTATGAAACCTTATTGTCAAGTGTAACAAATTTTAATAAAAAATTTAACCCAGCTGTTGGTTTTGTTTGTTTAACTCAACCCAAATTTGAGTTAAAAAAAACATTTTTATGAATAAATGTACATTTTTAGAGCATACAATATACTTAATTCTTTCAAGAAGGAATATTTATTTTTACCAACTAAAGTTTTCAGTTTTTTTTAATTCAGTATACTTTTACTCTTGAATTAAAGAAGTGGAGGATTTAAAAGGAGTAAATAAATTAATAAAATTATAAAATGATACAAAATTGTTCAAAAAATTAATAAAAATAAATAAATTTCGAATCGTCTCATCACCATCAGGAATTGCGCAAATCACTTAAAAAAAACATCTTGGCTCCCACTTTACACTATCTGTGAAAACTAAAGTGCTGGAATTTATGTTTGATACTTGTAAACTGTAAAGCCCTGCCTACTTTGATTTGATTTAATTGACTTTGATGAACACTGAAAAATAAAAACAAAAACAATTATCATTTACTCACACTCATGTCAAACCAAACCTGCATGACTTTATTTCGTCTGGCAAAAAAATAAACAAAAACAAAAAAAACTCTGATAATAGAGATATACAGTGACATGCATACAGCTTTGGAATAGTATGAGTGGAGTGTCGGACATTTATGCAGTCAATTTTGTTTGAACTGCCACTTTAAGAGAAGCAACATTTGTATCCAAAAATTGAGCTCCATGCTTCTGTCTCCTTTTGAAAGGGCCAAACTGCTTTGCTGGAAATCGCGTAATCTCCGCAGGAGAGCGTGTGGAGATTGATGAGCAGACGGTGTGTTTCTGCACCTACCGGGACGGAACGTGGCAGACGCACCATCACGCTACCTGCGAGGAGCGAGAAGACAATGAAGCCACTGACTCTGACAACACGTCCAAACAGATGGAGGAGCAGGAGAAGGAGAAAGAGAGAGAGAGAGTGTACTGGCCCAGGCTAGATGCCATCCCGTGATGGTGTGCCTGGCACCAGCTCTCTTGACAGGCAGGAGGGGGTGCAGGTGTCTGTGCCCAGGGTAAATACAACCTGTGCTGGGACAACCGCCAATGCTGACCTCTTTAGCCAACCTCACCACCGACTCCCTCCCACAATGACCTATATCCGCAACCCTCTGAGAGGCAACACACAATAACTCTAGCACTTTGTTGCGTTACTCTCTATACCGTTGCAATCAACATTATTCAAGTCCCTTAATCTGCATTGCTGCCATAAAGAAAAAATTATGAAAAAGGTTGAATGAAAATATAAGTTTTGAATTATTTCAATTTAATTATTTCACAATAAGGGACAGCATACATTAGTGGTCAAACTCAATTCCTGGAGGGCCACGACTCTGCAGATTTTAGCTTCAACCACCTCCAACTCACACCTGCTTAATAGTCTCTGGTAGTCTTGATTAGTTGGATCAGCTGTGTTTGATTAGGGTTGGAGCAGAACTGTGCAGAGCTGCGGCCCTCCAGGAATCCAGTTTGAGACCTATGGCGTACATTAACCAACATTCCTCAGGAGCGTGATTGTAGCCAAATTAGCCCAAAGACTAGTTTTCATTGGTAGTCCCTTTTCCAGATGTTAAAGACCTATACCAATAAAATTACAAATTCAAACTCTAAACAAAACTCAAATGGACAACAAAAAACACCCACAACAACAATAGCAAAAATACTAGTGTTTGCAACATTAAAGAACATGTAAACTACAATAAACCATTTTTAATTACAAATTTGTGCCATACTGAAAAAAATGAAGCAATCAGATTGTCTCTAAATATTCATGTGACCTTTTGTTGAGAATCTTTTATTCTTTATAACCTCTAAGTGCTTAAATCACCTCTCTGTGCTGGAGTCTTGGCCCATTCCCTTCCCCCAAAACATCAAGATGAATAATCTTTGGTTTCAACATTGCCACTGCTTTTTACCAGTTCCGCCAAATATTTTTTTATAAGATTTGAAAGTAGAGACCATCTAGACCACGGATGGGAAATCTTGGTCCTGGAGGGCTAGTTTACAGCAGAGTTTTGCTCCAACTCTAATCAAACTTAACTGAACATGCTAATCAGTGTCTTCAAGATCAATTGAATGCTAGGTGTGTTTGATTGGGGTTAGAGCTAAACTCTGCAGGACGACAGCCCTCCAGGGCTGAGTTTACCATAAAAAAATCCAGAATGATAAATATATCAGGCTTTCTGTGGATTTGGATGTGTTTTTACAAATGATTGTCATGCTGGAAAGCCCATCGATCATCAAGCTTGCAGTCTTTCTCAATATGGCTTGATGCAACAAAGAATCCATGTGATCCTTCATATAAATAAGACCTTCTACTTCGGCAAAGTATCCCTTAGCCTTGCATTTTTACCACAAGACAAAGAACTCACAAGACAAAGTTTGGCACATCAACCCATAAAACATTTTTCACAGAACTCCACCACTCTCTCCGAATGAAATACATTTTAGAAAATACTGTTGTCCTTTATTTTCCTTTGTCATCAAGGGGGCTTTTAAGCAAGGTGTCCTAGCCTTTCAGCAACATTTGTTTAAAGTTATTCTTGTAATTCTTGAAATGCTTTACTTTTTATCAGGTCACCTTGTTAGTCTTTGGCAATAAGCATTAACTTAAACATTTTTCCCCTTGGCCTTGATGATAGAGTGCTTTTTCGTCAACATCCTGACAGGTGTTCTGATGAAACTCATTTCAGACATATAAATAAAACTGGCAGCCGTGCCTGTAGAAACTGTTAGTCATAGTCTTGTAGCAATAGACTTTTGGCCAGAAACATTTGTCAAACCAACATCAGATATGGTATTTATTTATTTATTTATTTATTTATTTATTTATTTATTTGTTTGTTTGTTTGTTTATTCGTTTGTTTGTTTATTCGTTTGTAACAGCTTAGGCTATCAAGTTTTCTTTTATAATTTCCAAAAGCATAAATGTATTTTAACATTATTGTTTGCCATACCATACATATGAATATAACTATATGGTGACATCATCACTTTAATATACAGTGCATCCAGAAAGTATTCATTTCGCTTCACATTTTCCACATTTTTTTAATGTTACAGCCTTATTGCAAAATGGATTAAATTAATTTACTTTCTCAAAATTCTACACACAATACCCCATAATGACGATGTGAAAAAATATTTATTGAAATTGTTGCAAATCTATTATAAATAAAAAACCTGAAAAGGCACATCAGTATTCACAGCCTTTGCTGTGTATGCCATAAGCTTGGCACACCTGTCTTTGGAAATTTTTCCCCATTCCTCTTTGCTGTACCTCTGAAGCTCAGGTTGGATGGGAAGCAGCGGTGTACAGCAATTTTCAGATCTCTCCAGAGATGTTCAATAGGATTTAGGTCTGGGTTCTGGCTGGGCCACTCAAGGACATTCACCGAAGTGGTGTGAAGCCACTCCATTGATATTTTGGCAGTTTGCTTTGGGTCATTGTCCTGCCAGAAGATAAACCAGCGACCGTGTCTGAGGTGGAGAGCACTCTGAAGCAGGTTTTCATTCAAGATGTTTCTGTACATTGCTGCATTCATCTTTCCCTCTATCCTGACTAGTCTTCCAGTAGCTGCAGCTGAAAAACATCCTCACAACATGATGCTGCCACCACCATGCTTCACTGAAGGGATGGTATTAGCCTGGTGATGAGCGGTGCCTGGTTTTCTCCGAATGTAACGTCTGGCATTCACTCCAAAGAGTTGAATTTTAGTCTCATCAGAACAGAGAGTTTATTTATTTTAAAAAAATTTATGGAATGGTGGATTGCTACACAGATGGTTGTCCTTCTGTAAGGCTCTGCTCTTTCCACAGAAGAACGCTGGAGCTCAGACATGTGACCATCGGTTTATTGATCACCTCCCTGACTAAGGCCCTTCTCCCCCGATCATTCTAGGAAGAGTCCTGGTTGTTCCAAACATCTTCCACTTACGGATGATGAAGGCCACTTTGCTCATTGAAACTTTCAGAGCAGCAGAAACTTTTCTGCAACCTTCCCCAGCCTTGTGCCTCGAGAGTCGAGACGATCATGTCTCAGAGGTCTACAGACAATTCCTTTGTCTTCATGCTTGGTTTGTGCTTTAACATGCACTGTCAACCCTGGGACCTTATAAAGACAGGTGTATGCCTTTCCAAATCATGTGCAATCAAGTGAATTTACTACAGGTAAACTCCAATTAGGCTCCTGAAACATCTCAAGAATAATCAGTAGAAACACAATGTACATGAGCTCAATTTAAAGCTTCATGGCAAAGGATGTAAATATTTATGTACATGTAAAAGTGAAGCACTGTGAATACTTTCCAAATGCACTGTATGCCACTAAATTGTAGAGAATTATTTTAATCTTTTTTTCTGAAAAAAAAAAAAACTTTTATTTTGCATTTTGAAAGAATCCTAAAAATGTATTATAGTGTTTATAAATATATGAAATATAAGTCTTTTCAACACTGGTATATAAATGAGAAACAGTTCATTTAATTATGTAATAAGTCATGTGAACTTTGAATGAATGAAAATGTGTGTGCATAACTGTACTGTATATCATGTTGCCTATACTTAAGATGCAATAATGCAGATGTTTTGTGATGTTAAATTTTTTATTTTTTTTATTTTGTCAGTTAGAAATTACACAAATCAGGGCAATATGATGTGTTCAAATGGATTGTTCACCCAAAAATACAAGTTTGCTGCTAGTTTTTGCCCACCAGTACATTTGTTGTTTTAGTGATGGTATAATGACCATATATAATCATTTTCCAATCTCTTCTTTAGAATACAACCACAAAATACAGTTGGCTTTCTTTTTTCATCGAATTGTTTAAGACATGTGAAAGATAGAGTTGCATGAAAGAATGGATGTCCTAGTGTGGGCAATAAAGCTATGAGAAATGCTCAGAAAGAGCTGCTGTAATTTGCTAATTATTCCAGAAAACTTTCAGGACAGTCTAAATGGACTATGACTTATGCACATTTTCTGAATGTTTTTGGACTATCAGTGTGCTTTTATGAATCACCAAGGATCACAGTACCAAAAAATGTTTTCTTGTATGATCGTCTGAAGAAAAAAAAATCCATCACAACTTGTCTAGTCTGAGAGATCCATAAATTAACAGCAAATTTTCATTTTGGGGTGAATGATTCATTTCTTTAATAGTTTCAGTGTATATTCTAACACATTGTACAACATACATTACATGTCATACATTTATAGCAAAGTTATAATAGTTCTCTACAAAAATGTTATTGGTCATATAGACAGTAACTTTAGCATGCAATGAGAAATGGCAATTTTTAAAGGGCTGGTAAACTGAAAATGTATCATGTATTAAAATCAACTCAGGTTTAAGCATGTTTTCCCTTTCTCATTATTCTAACATTATTATATTCTGTGAAAACAACTGGAGGCATGTACTGTACATTGTCCAGCTTATACAGCTGAATGCCACAAAAGTAAACAATTAGATACATAATATTGATCTGAGCTGTAAAAATTTTACTGGTTATTTAACTAATTGTAAAGTTCACTAAAAGTTTACTCTTTTTTTTTTCAACAAACAGCTCTCAAGATTTAGTCACCAAATGGTGCCAAGCAGTCAATAACAGTGAAGTGATAAACACACACACACACACACACACACACACACACACACACACACACACACACACACACACACACACACATACATACACGCACACACACACACACACACATACATACATACAGTACATTCAACACGCACATATATATATATATATATATATATATATATATATATATATATATATATATATATATATATATATATATATATATATATATATATATATATATATATATATATATATATATATATATATATATATATATATATATATATATATATAAATGTTATTAATTTTTCAGTGGTTGTTGTCTGGGAATAACATACCTTGGAATGTCATGATTGGCATTTAATATATATATATATATATATATATATATATATATATATATATATATTTAATATTTAAATTATATATATATATATATATATATATATATATATTTAATATATATATGTTTATTTATTTTTATTTATTTATTTTTTTTAAATACAATACATACCACACTATGAAATATGAAAAATAATTTTATTGATTACTGATCAATATGTATTCCTTCATTTGGATTCACAGGTGTCAAACAGTTTCTGGTGGGCTGCTATGTAGTCAATATACTTGCAAAAAAAAACTTTTGCAAAAAAATAAAAAATAAAGTATTGAGCAAAAATAAATTTGAGAAATAAAAATTAATTTTGCCAACAAAAATAAATAACTGCAAAGACAAAATGAAGTTTTGAGAAATAAGAATGAAATTTGTAACAAAAAAGAACAGAAAAAAATCAAGCAGTATATATATATATATATATATATATATATATATATATATATATGTTTATATATTTATATATATATATAAAAATATATGCAATAATTGAAATTTTCCCTTTGCAGTTAACAAACCAAATTTTTATTTCTCAAAAATGTACTTTCCCTTTGCACTTTATATACATACATATATACACACACATATATACACACACATATATATATATATATATATATATAATATTAATATAAATTAATTTATATATGTGCGTGTTGAATGTACTGTATGTATGTATGTGTATGTGTGTGTGGTATATATGGTATATATATGGCCTTATATTGACTCCATAGCTGCAGATCTGCACAGTTCAACTTTAACCCTAATTAAACACACCTGATCAAACTAATTAAGTCCTTCAGACTCGTTTTAAACCTCCAGGTAAGTGTACCAAACAAAGCAGGGTTGGATCTAGACTGCGCAGAGCTGTTGTCCTCCAGGAACTGAGTTTGGCACTTTTAGAAAATTATAGTTTTGTAATATTACCATGAGATGCTGAAGTGAATCAAGTCATACATACGACACACTAGATGGCGATGCTTTAGTTATGACGATGACGTGACGCCGGAAGCTGTGAAGTCTGTGGTGCGCGCACGCTTATATCCCATCATTCCTTTCTGTCTCTTCCTCTTTCCCTTTCAGCGACTATGTCTAAGAGAGGTAAGAAACACACATGAAAATCCGCAATCATCCTTAAAATGAGGAGCATTTAAGCCCCCTAAAGTAAAGCACAGGTTTATATGATCATGGAGGATGTGTATTTCACCCATATTGATGTCAATTCTGAATTTTAACTTGGATTAAAACAGAAATGTACACTTTCCGCTAGCAAGAGAAGCCATGTTTGCTAAGTACGCAGAGTGAAGCTCGTGGAGCCAGTGGTGTGATTTTGGAACTCTTCATATTTGAACCGTTTTGTTCGTAAGCAAGTTTTGGAGTAGAGCTTTATGATAGCAGCCATTTAAAATCAGTGAAGAGCAGCACTTGTGAGTAGTTAACTCTACAATATGTGGTGAAACTGGTAGACGCTCGTCTGAATGGTGGAAAGAAGTCGCACGTTTGTATGTCAGGCTAACGTGTAAACGTGCACTATTAAACCAGTGTACAACAGGTTTCCACACCAGAAATTCTCCTTGAAATGTTATCATCGTAAATATTGTGTTTGTGTTGAGTGGAATCAAGCTTGTCCGGCAGCAAACGTCTGTTCACTTGCAACTGTATCGACAGGTACACACTTGAAGGTGTAAGTTAGGGAAATAATACCATAACAGACATTATTCTGCACAAGTTCAAAGCTTGTGTCGTTTAATTTATCAAGTTGACAAGTCTAGGCAGAATAAGTTGTCTTCATTCGTTTTCATTTAACTTACACTTTAACTTATAGTTACTGGTGTTGACATTTTCAATAGTTTTTTTTTCCCAATGTTTTATTTCATAATTGGAAGTGAATGAATGAATTGTTGCTCCTTTGGCGAGTTTTTGTTTTAGATATGCTAGGTGTTTTGATAGATTTATGGAGTCAGGTTAATTTAGCCAGTGTGCTACTCATGTATTATCTAAAATTTAAACCTAGTCTATATTTTGGTGGTTTTGCTGTTTTTGTGTATTTTATTAATTTTGGTCCTCCTGTTTAGGACGTGGTGGGTCATCGGGAGCCAAGTTCCGCATCTCACTGGGTCTCCCAGTGGGAGCGGTCATCAACTGCGCTGACAACACAGGTAAGAAACTTGCCTTCATTGATGGGACCAACTGAAATAATTTATTCCAGAATTTCATTTTTCTAAGTATTGCTTGGTTTATGTCTTATTAAACTCATATTTTTAATGGTTTGAAATTGTTAGTAACCAGGGCATGAACATTTCATGACTTAACTTGGACAGTTCAAACCACAGTGACGGATGTTTGAGACCCAAACAAACATGGATGGTCACCATGTCACAGCATGTCACTTTTCAGACATTACCTGATTAAACAGGAACCAAATTCAGAACGTTCTTGCAGAAGTCATTGGTCAACTAAAATGGTCTGTTGGTGTAGTCTGAATTGGCCTTCAAGTTCTTATTAAAAAATTGTTGAAACTTAAGCTTAAAAAAATCCTGTAAGTTAATTGAAGTACATTTAGTCCAACAGTAACATTTGTATTGCTTTGACTATTTTAATTTAAACTAATTTTTACAAGAGCTGGTGTGAATGCTTGTCTTGTGTATAGTTTCTAGCGTAATATTGAAGTGCTGTTGAAGCAGCAGTTCGGAAGATTACTTGAGGCCAATTACTTTAAGTTTTGCAGTTCAATCTGGTTTCAGTCTGTAAATTATTTGAGCTTCTTGTCCTTCTTAAAAGCACTTGCTTCGTCTGCTCAGTGGCTGGGTGAGTTGTCGTGGAAGGAAAAAGTAAACCCCATTACTCTTGGGTGAGATGGCAGTCTCCACATGCTGTTTAATCTCAATCCGTGATGGAACAAATCTTTGCTTTTTCTTATTTCCAATCAGCTGAGGGTCAGCAGACATGCTGAACTTAGCTCAACGGCATTGAATATGCCAGTTACAAGTTCATTTACTCAACTCTGCCTTTTCTCTCACTTAGGTGCAAAGAACCTGTACATCATTTCCGTCAAAGGCATCAAGGGTCGTCTGAACAGGCTGCCTTCCGCCGGTGTGGGTGACATGGTTATGGCCACAGTGAAGAAAGGCAAGCCAGAGCTCAGGAAAAAGGGTGAGTGCTTTCACAATTGGGCTTTATTATAGATGTTAAGTGAAAGGCTAGCTTTAGACAGTCATACACCAACACTTCTCGTGTGTGCAGTGAATGTGACGTTAAGTTCAAGACAAGTTCAAAATTTAATAAACTGGTAAAGGTTTGACTACATAAATGACAAAAGGGAAGCTCAATCTTTTTAAGTTGCACTTTACAGTATGTTTTACTGGAGTTCTTTCATAAGAACATACTTTATTATTTGAGGTAACTATGGGAGGTAAGGTTAGATTCATGGGTAGGTTTAAGGATAATACCTAGTTATTACCCAGTTGTAATGACTATGATAAATCTATAGCCTATGCAGTGCACCGCATAATTGCGTACAACATTTTGACAATTAATATTTTTATTTGTATCACCAGAATATAACTATTTTTGTGCATTTTGAACCGGTTTTATCAATCCATTATATCCATTAAAGGGCTTGGTCACAAACATCTTTAGAACTATACAGAATGCATCTAAATTTAAGTTATTACAATTTATTACAAAGTACAGTTTGAATTAAATTCAGGAGAAAACAAAAAAAATTATTTAATTTTACCAACATTTATTGATAACTTTTTATATATATAATTTTTTTTTTATTTAGTTATATTTAGCTTTATGTGCACATGTATTGTAAAAGCAATCTAAAAGGGAGATCTGTGTGGGAGGTACTCATTTGATGAGCAAACAAGTATAAACTATACTATAAAATAGTGCACCTATTATGTCTTTGTATAAAGCAGACATCATTAAAACACCAAAAAGACAAATAGTGTTACTTGCACAGTTTTCTAGTTTATGAAGTTTTCTGTATTCAATGCAGTTTATTGGTAACCAAGTATTCTTGAATGTTGTACTGAGAAAATGTATCTGGTTGCACTTATCTACTGAATTTATTTTTATTTATTTTTTTTTAATGAAATCAGGTAGTGATGATAAATGTTTGTGTATACAAGTTCCTAACAACTCTAACATAACTATAACAACTCTTTTATTCTAGTGCATCCTGCGGTGGTCATACGACAGCGGAAGTCGTATCGGCGAAAAGATGGCGTGTTTCTATACTTTGAAGACAATGCTGGGGTCATAGTGAATAACAAAGGAGAAATGAAAGGTGAGTTATGAATGTCAGATCTTGGTCTGTGTCCTTCTTAAAAGCACTTGCTTCGTCTGCTCAGTGGCTGGGTGAGTTGTCGTGGAAGGATAAAGTAAACCCCATTGCTCTTGGGTGAGATGGCAGTCTCCACATGCTGTTTAATCTCAATCCGTGATGGAACAAATTATTTCCGTTTTAACACCTGACAATTCTGTACAAGTTCCACAATTTACTTGTTGCTAAATTGTATGTTCTCTTTTGTAGGCTCCGCCATCACAGGACCTGTAGCCAAGGAATGCGCAGACCTGTGGCCCAGGATTGCTTCTAATGCTGGCAGCATTGCCTGAGCACACATTTTGGCTTGTCGTTTTCAATAAAGTACTCAAAAGTGTCTGTTTGTCTGTTGATTGCTAAAAGCTGTTCTGTACTATTCGGGGTTTCTGCTAGGTGTACAAGTGTAAAATCTAAAAATGAACATTTTTAAAGGATTGATTCAGGTTTTAATGTATTTCAATGTTAATTTTTTTCCAACACTACCACTAATGCTTGTTGAAATGCTTGTTTAAACTATGCTTAAAAAAAATCTCAGACCAAGAATAAGTCACAATGGTCTTTGTTTTGACATAAAGAGACCTGCAGAACCCTGCTATAAACTGGAAACTGCTTAGTATTTGGGATTGCATTTTGCACAAGTTGAGTTCATCCTCAAGGCCTGCCTAAAGGAAGATGTTGCATTTTGACAGTTTAATCTTGGTAAAATTAAAGCTAGATTTGTTTAGTTATATTAGCCTGATAAATGATGGGCCTTAAAACTGACAAGTGACTATGGTAAGAACTTAATTTCTTTTAGCATTAGTACATCATGCAGACTCCCTGATTAAAAACCTCAACTAAAAAATAATGTACAGTGCTTGTATAAGAGTACACACCTCAAATAATAATTCTTAAAAATAATAAAAGCTATACAACATATTTATCCATGTACATTAGATTAGTCAGTACTGAAGCTAATTTATGCATGTACATTAGATTAGTCTGTACTGAAGCTAATCTAACAAAACTTACAACGTTCCAAAATCTAGAACACCCAAATCTGTTAAACATTAAATGCAAATAATAAAGATAATAATCAAGCAATGTAAAAAAAACTGTTGTTAATTTTGTAAGTTATAATTTTATTTGCAATATTTTGGCTTTAATTGTATTAAGATTTCTAAATATGTTTGACTAAAATATTTGAATATCTTTAAATGTTCTGTTTAAATGCGCTAAAACACTGCCTATACATTTACTGAGAAATGGAAAAAAACTATTCATTTTCAAAATGGGCTATACTCCATTATACCGAGGACTGTATGTTCTAAGGATGCTCAATTCAATTAAGCATGTATGTAGCAAGGTTAAACCTGTTAAATGCATATGGAGGATAACGAGACTACAGAGAGATGTGTAACTGAAATAGTTAAGTTCATTATTGTGGCTATGAAAAGAAATGCTCTTGTTCAATTTGTTGCTAAATCAGATGCATTTCAAAAATGACAGCAGCTTGGTGTTTCTTTTTAATTTGCATATAGACCATATACAGTTGTTTTTAAGTAGGTGAAAGTCTACTACAGGTGCGTGTTGTCATGGAGACCAGTTTGTTGTGGAGGCGTGAGCTAGAGAGTTAGCGTTACTGGTCAGCTAAACGAAGACGCTGACGACTTTCTGAATTTAGAGGTAAAACAGTTTTCATACTCCTTCAAGAAGTAAATTGGGTGGCTCTTTGTGGTCATATTTGTCGATAAACAAAGCAGGAATGGAGAACTCTGATGTGATAAATTTCAGTTGTCTTGAAAAAGAGCTACACTCGGCGCTGCAAGCGGACAGAAAATACCAGAGGGAAAATGATGCCAAGTTTCGTGCTCTGAACCAAAAGGTCGCCAGCTACGAAGAATTCAGGTGGGTTAAGGAAATCTTTATTTATGTACTATCTATTCAACGATTCTTCCTATGTCTGTTTCTCTACTGTAAGTATATACTATTTTTGTAATAATTATTATATAATTTAATATAATAATAATTATTTCAGAGACATTGTTCTCGCATCTCATTTGAAACCACTTGATCGAAACGACATCTCTGGTTCACCCCGAAAGCAGCCATGGAATCCAGTTGCTTGTAGGACAAATTATGTATGTGCTTCTTCTGAGCAGGTCCAGGTGAGACATTTTATAAAGCAAATCACCTTTATGTTATATGAATGAATGGATTCCAGCTGATATATCTTACTTGATAACTAACTTCATTCTGTATTTACTTCAAGCCACAATTATCTGAGGTCCAGCCAAGAAGTGCATCAGAGTTCATCCGTGACTGGCGCAGGTTTGCAGGATGCTCATTTGAAAAGTACAGTCTCCTTGTAAGTCTGGGAGGAGAGGCGCTACAAAAAATCTTCAGCACAGAGATTGGCCTCGGTCTTCTGGGAGAGTTCCTACTGATTCTGTCTCAGTGTCTAAAGTCAGGGGATGAGGACAGAGTGACTGGAGTGCTGGACGGCCTTTCCAAAACAGGCCGCTTTTCCATTAACCTGTCTCTTCTTAGTCAGGCGGAACAAGAAGCCTGCGAGGAGCTTTTCAACAAGCTAAAAGTTGCAGCCGGCGAATGTCATCCATATAAAGATAATTCAAACACTTCAGTTGTTTGTGAGGCAGGTCTGACACACATGGAGGATAACAAGACTGACATTACAACAACACTTAAAGAATTAGCAGGAAAATATGGCACTGAAAAATAGTTTATACTAAAACAAATCTATTAGTTTCTTCAGTTTCATATTCTCTTTGTTGTTTGTTGTTGTTAGTTTTCAGGCAAAATATGTTAAAAGTGCAAGTCCTTTACTTTTGGTCCATCTGCCCATTGTTACTTTTAGCTTATGAAGCCCCTCAGGATAAAGAGGACATCTTTGCGAGGAAGGCCTGTCCTGCATTTCTTGTCTTTGACACTGTGGCCTTCCTTTCTGACATGACCGTCAATCTTTCTTGTCGCTGCAAACCAGAGGAGATGCATTCAGTGGTGTGGTACTATCAAAAACACATCGGCTCCATGAACACCAAAGTCCTCACAGACTATGCAGGAACTGCAGTGGTGGAATCCTCCAAGGTTGGCAGAGGGTCAGATCTGCGTAGTCGCTTTTCCATCCGCTTGTTTAGCCTTCTCATCTTCAGGGTTCAGAAAGCTGACTCGGGCCACTATATCTGTGGCACGGCCTCTGGTGAATTCTTCTACGGCTACGATGTTGACGTCCAGGTGGTCCGACACGTTTTATTTCCCTGGAACCTCAATCGGAGAACTCAAGCAGAGGATGCAGAGATGTTTCAGGTGTTCACTCGGCACCAGTCATGGTCTAAATGTGACCGTTGTGACATCCAGGGTGAGCAGACCCGTGTAGGATTTTGTTTTGTCAAAAGCATCTACCTTCAGGTACGTTATCAGAGTGATTCAGAGACAGAGGCTCCCTGCGGTTCCCCAGCTGTTCCTTTACAATTTGGCATTTCAGGCAGCAGCTACGGAGCTGAGCTTGAGGTGAGGGACTGTCATGCCACCTGTCCTCCAAAACCTAAAGTATCTCCAGAGAGACAAGCTCTAATGAAGTTCCTTGAGATTGAAGATCAAGCTTCTTCAGGGGTTTCCATCCACTTCTACAACCACCCCACAGACTCTGATCTGGTCCTGATTTGTCCTGGTGCCAAACCGCAGTATGCAGTGGCCTGGGATAAAGGCTCAAAGCCGCTTTATCTATCTCAGTATATGGAGGGGCTGAATAGGACGTCTCGGGTCTTCATTGACAGCGGTCACCATCTACACTTCACGCCTGTGCAGCTGGAAGATAAAGGCTCCTATTTCTGTTGGATCCAAGGAGAACTGGCTGCAGAGATCAGATTAGGGGTGTATCTGCGTTTGGGACGTTTGCGACAGATCTTCGACCCAGAGTCCATCTATGCTCTACGACTTATTTTCATTTGCTACATTGGCATTACTGCTGTGTTTATCCTCACAGTGTTTGTCAGATTTATTTTTCAGATAAACAAGACAGACACATCTGCTGACATTGACTGAATTTGAATGTGCTGTAGTTTGATTTGTGATGTCAAACAATTAAACGCTTTTTTTACTTTATATAAGTGTCATCTATTTATTTTGTTTTCGGTTAAGTCCCTGTATTAATCAGGGTTGGCCACAGTGGAATGAACTGCCAACAGCAGCAGATGCCCTGAAACATCCATACACACTTATTCACACACATACACTACCACCAATTTAGCTTACCAATATACCTCAAGAGCATGTCTTTGGACTGTGGGGGAAACCGGAGCATCCCGAGAAAACCCATGCGAACACCGGGAGAACATGCAAAGTCCGCACAGAAATGTCAACTAACCTAGCCGAGGCTCGAACCAGTGACCTTCTTGCTACCTACTGTGGCACCTCATATATGTGTGTGGACTGTGTTCATTTATATATATATATATATATATATATATATATATATATATATATATATATATATATATATATATATATATATATATATATATATATAAATACCACGCTTATTGTATGTAATTAATTTAACATTTAAATATTTTAAATATAAATCAACATTTTTCTCAAATATACATACTAAAGATACACAGAACATACACATGCTATGCAAATACAAACTTTTATTACTCATGGTTAATCATTTGGCAGCACTAAGTTAAATACTAATGCACATTTACTGTTGAGTCCAAGGTGAAATTAATAAATGCATGAAATGAATTTTCTCAGTGTGAATTTTAAATGTTTTTGTTCTCGGAGTGAGAATGGTAATAAAATCTCTACTTTTATATAAATGTTTAAAGTAAGCTGAATTACTTATTTTCATCAGAACATCAAAACTGACGCCACAAGTGAAAATTCTGCTTTTACATAAATAATAATAGGAATTTCACTTTACATCAGTGGTTTTCAACATTTTCTTTTTGACTCTGAGGCCCTCTCCTGCAATGGTACTTCTAAGACTCTGTTGCTGCATAGTTTCCTAGTATATACCAGAGATGCCCAAAGTAGGGCCTGTTGGCCAAAGTTGGCCCATTGTAACCTTTGATTTGGCCCACCATCCCAACTTAGGAGGAGAAGTGAGTATGATGGAGAGGGTTGGGACGAACGCCTTTCACACAAAGATTGTCATTTCTAACTTGACGTAACCTTTTATGTTTGTTTTATTGCTGAGCTACAAAAAAATGAAACTGAAATAAAATGTTTCAATTAAATGTAGTAAATTAATCTAATTTTATAAAATGTAAATACTGTCACTCGACGGATAGAGGACTTTACAGAAGACATCGGCAAGCAAATCAAGGCAAAAACTAGAGTAATTCTGCTAGAAATGAAATGTTTTGTTTTTATTGTAATAAGTTCATTATCAAATGTAAATAACCTGTATCAGTTAATATAATGCAATGTTTTTTAGTAATCTCTAAGCATTAAATAAACTAGGAAATTACTTATGGCAACTATATTTACCTTCTGCCCACTAGCCTCAATCAAGTTTGGTTTTAGGCCCTTCATAACAAAAAGTTTGGGCCCCTCTGGTATATACAAAACTGTAAGAGACAGGAGTAATATGTAGGCTACTAATAGCTTCCTCCAGTGAGATAATGAAATGTGCATCCAGTGGACACTTTACTGTCCCATCATCTTGAGTCCAGCCTGGCAATTCTAGTTCTTCTAAGAGAAAGAAAAGAAAAAAAGAGATGTTAAGGTGGCACATTTCTAGATTTTTTGTTTGTTTTTATTGTTTGTAGATTGTCATCTTGAGCCATAGGTTGAGATCTACTGTATTACTCAGCCAAAAACAAATTGCACCGAAAACATTTTAGTTGAACTTAACTATTGAAGTTAGTTGAACAATTTTTTAAAATAAAATTTTAATAAAAATGCTTGCAACTTTCACAATAACAAAGGAACAGCAAGTTACCCGTTGAATTAAACAAGAATTGCTGAAGTATTGAAGGTTCATTTTCTTTATAATGCAATGTATGTAATGTTTTATGACTTCTATTAGTTCATTATAGTTTAAATGGAATGCTTTTTTCAGCAATTAGTTTACATAACTAATTATGAACCAGGGGGCTGCAAAATAGCAAATAAATTGAAAATGGGGGAGGGGGGGGGCTGTTGGAGATATTGCTTACATTCTGTCCGTTAACTCCTTTATTTAAACAAATCAGTTTATATATATCCCCTACATATTTAAAAAAACATCACATTGTGACAGTCGATTGAGTCGCTAGAGGGCGCATTTTCACCACGTAAGTTACAGTATACGCCGCCGCCGAAGGGACCATGCGTTTTTTAAATAACCACAATATTATTAACCAGCGTGTCTCAGGAGTCACTTCAGCTACTAACTTATAACAGGTTAAATGTAAAAAAAATAAAATAAAAAAGTTGACATATTAAAATGTTCTCGTTTCAACATGCCAGCACAGGACATGAGTAGATGATCTGAGTTTGCAGCATCATAGCTGTGTGTGTGTGTGATGACAGAGGAAGGCTGTGGCGGATGAGCTCTGACTGACAAGACTGAAATCAGTCGGCTAACTATCGCAGGGAAGTTTCCGGAGTTGTTCTTGAACAACTTGAGTTGTTCAATCCAGGGCGCAATGAAGGATCAAAATTACAGCGATGAAATCACGAAAATACTGGAAGAGGCTCCCACTGCCCGCAAAGCACTTTTAGACAACTACGACAACTTGCACAAAGTAGCGGAGTACTGCGAGAACAACTACCTGAAGGCAAGACTATCACACCATCACACTCACTGATTCAATCTGAGAGAGAGACTGTTAAAATTGAGGAAAGCAAAAACATCTGACTCAGTCTAACTGTTCTATAGTATATGTGACATTTAAAGTTTACAGTACACGTATTTGCATTCTGCACCACTTTTCATTCTTTGACTTTATAGAAAATCGCTAGAAATTGTTAATTGAAGTTATAAACCTACTTAAAAAAGGTAAAAAATACTTCGCTTCTAAAAATATATTGAACCAACACTATAGTGTAGATCTGTAGCCTATTAGCAAAGTGTATTATCATTATAGTATTTACAACATCTTGTTAAGGAATGCTACAACATGTGGTGAATTGATAAACTGCAAAAAACTGTGTAGTGTACTTTAGATTTTCTACAGTAAACTCAACCGTGGTGTATCAGGCCTGTAGCTAACATATTGAAAGTGGTGGTTATTTTATTTTATTTTTTTCTGAAAAACAGGACCTTTTTGCAGTTATTTGCCCAATTTTCTATTTTTATATGAGGTTTAAATGCTGCATTTTAGTGACATTTCAAACACAACTGATCATGACCACACTTTTTGATGTACCAAAAATATTTCCCACCTTTTTGCCAAATTACTTGCCATACTATTTTAAGCCGTTATTTGCAAGTGTGCATTTAAACAGTACTTTTTATATTGCATTTTTATAAATAGTGTTGAGATATAAATAAAGAATAAAGAAACATGAAAAGATACTTAATTTTAAAATACTATGTTATTATCATCTATCAAGGCAAGGCAAGTTTATTTATATAGCACATTTCATACACAGTGGCAATTCATAGTGCTTTACATAAACAAGAATAAAAGAAATTAAAAAGTAAAATAAAAATAAAAACAAATAATAAAAATGAGTAAAGAAAAAACATAAAATCAGGTAAAATGTGATATAAAAGAATGAAGAAGAAGAGAAAAACATAATAGTGCAATCTGTCGGACGCAGCACAGTGCTCATTCAGTAAAGGCACAGCTAAACAGATGTGTTTTCAGTCTTGATTTGAATGTACCTAATGTTGGAGCACATCTGATCGTTTCTGGAAGCTGATTCCAGCAGCGAGGGGCGTAGTGGCTAAAAGCTGATTCACCCTGCTTTGACTGAACTCTTGGAACTTCTAGTTTATATGATCCTAATGATCTGAGTGATCTTTTAGGTCTGTATTCAGTGAGCATATCTGTAATGTATTGAGGTCCTAGACCATTTAGTGATTTATAGACCAGTAATAATACTTTAAAATCTATTCTGAATGTAACTGGCATTAAATTAAATCATTATATTCTTTTTTAGTAATCTGTTAAAACTTGTTTTAAATTAAAAATGAAGCCTAAATGCAAATAACAAACTACCCACTAAATTCAACTTTCCTCATTCAGAATATTGAAATAATTCACATATAATATACAAATAATTTATGATAGCATAGAAGTCAACCATAGGATAGATGAGCTCATATAGGGGACCAATTCTGGACCTTTGTCAGTAAGTGGTGTCTTTCGAACCACCCGAACCCACCCTGACTACAGCCTGTGTATTGTGTAATATCCAGTAGTTATTAAAAATGAGTGGAAAGGAAGGAAGATGAGTTTAAAGTGAAGCAAGACTGTCTTCCTTACAGTATAGATAATATCTCACTTGACCCCTGGTTCAAGGTTTCCTTTGCTGCCATGTCTTTGCCGAGCCTTTTTCTACCAGTGAATGAATGAATGAATGTATTAACGGATGAATAAAAGTAACTGAATTTACATCTCACTGTTCTGATATAAACCCGAAGTTTCACAATTCAGAGAAAAAAAAGATGTTGATTACGAGAGAAAAAAAGTTAAACATGCAGTGCAAGATTGCACATATTCATCGCACTACATTGCACTAATTCATCTTGAATTGTACACAGCCACTGCACATGTACATTTGTAGTTATGTTCATATCTATCTGGATACTTCTGATTGTTAATAGTTACCTGTACATATAATTATCGATTGTAAATCTCTGTTCATAGTAATCACAACCTGTATATAATATTCATAGTACATCCATCTGTAAATATCACCCGTAGTTTTTCTATGATTGCATTTTATAACTTATACCTCCTGCACTTGCAGCTATTGTACTCCTGGTTAGATCTAAACTGCATTTTGATGCCTTGTACTTGTACATTTGTAATGACAATAAAGCTGAATTTAATCTGATCTTAAAAGATATAGAGAAGGGGAAAAAATCTAAATACCAATGTATAAACTTATTAGTTTTTCTTGTTTTGTCTCAACATTTAAAAAAAAACTTTACCCTTAGCATTGACTTTCTTTTCCTTTTTTTTTCACATTTTGTCTTAATCACAAATCAGATTTTATTTCTCTGAATTTAAACGTTACTAATGTTATAAGATATAACCTGATTTTAATATCAAACTCTGGGGAAAAAATGTAAGAATTGTGAGATGTAAACCTCTGTGAAAACTTGTGAATTCATGATTGATGAGAAATAAAGTTTGAAATATTACATTAATACAGCATTACCATTTATATATTTTATTTAGTGGCAGAATTAAATGTTAAAAGGTTTATTGTGGCGTAGTACAAAAACAACGGAAGTCTAAGAAACATGGAACAACAAATACAAGCAGTTGTGTTTATCTACAAAACCACTTGCGTATTTGTACATAAAGCTCCTTCCCTTTTATTTTTGCTCCAGGTTGTTCAATAAGAGCACATATTGCATGCAACACCATGAAGACAGCTAGTAATAATGTGCAATCAAATGAAGATAAATTAACCTTAATTCAAATTTCAGATGAACAGTTTTTGTTAATGGGTTTTTATCTCTGCAGTCTGGAAATGACAGCAACAAAGCTCTGGAAGAGACCAAGGCCTTCACCACCCAGTCTTTGGCTAGTGTGGCCTATCAGATCAGCTCTCTGGCCACCAATGTGCTCAAGCTACTGGACGCACAAACCCTTCAGCTCCGCAAGATAGAGTCCTCTGTCAACCAGATTGGACAGGTATCTCCTTATTCTTCTTTGTCCTCAAGTTCAGCTGGTAGAGATTCTCAATAACTCTGTAAAAGAGTTCAGTTGTGTCATGTGGACTCTTTATCGGCTTCACAGTGTCGCCCTTTCATTTCTTTAAAAAAAAAATGGAAGTTGTCATTTAGATGTACTGCATTTAGCAGTTTGTTCATGTGCTGGTTCCTTTTTCACCCTAAGTAATTAAATATCAGTTCAAGGTTTGGCCTGTAAATTGTGGTAACTTTGTTCACTCAGCAGCTTTAAAGCAACTTCTTTTTCGAAAGTGTGTGAATTGCTCTATTAATAATGTAAATGTTTTCTCACTGAAGACTTACAACCATGAAACAGAGTTTTTTTAAACAACAATTTGGACTGATTATACTCGTTTCTTTCCTGGTATGTATCTAAATATTTATAGAAAATTAAATAGAGAAAAAGTTCGCTGAAGAAGAGTTTTCATTCTAACATAAGGCAAATCTTTTGGAATTTTGCAAAAAAAATGAAATATCCCTAGTGCAAGTTAGATGCATTTCCATCAAGTTGCTAGAGAGGCAGACTGTAATATTGGTAACATAGTAACCAAGAGTAAACAAGGCAAGCATAATGGAGACAGCTGAATACTTGTCAGGTTTTAATGTTTGCTACATCAGAGTTTATTCAGCAAATACGTTTCCATCTCCCGTTATACACATTAACCTTTTTTAAAAAAAGCGAGCATAAAACGTTTTTGCAAACCTTAGGAATTTTTATTAGAATGTTTTTGTTTCTATCATTTGTTTCTCATGCAATACTTTTTTTTTTTTTTTTTTTGCAATTCTCTGTTTGGAGGGTTAGCAGCTAATTCTCTCAAGATTTAAAAATACATCCAAAATTCTGCTGCCCATGTGTTGACACATACATCATCTCGGTCTCACATTTTATGTGTACTCCAACAGCTTCATTGGCTGCCCGTCAAGTCTTATTGATTATTGGACATTAATTTTAACAATGTATGAAGCAGTTCATGGTTCTGCTCTAGATTACATTTGTGATTTGATATCTATTTCTTCGGTCTCGCTGTTTAAGCTCTGCCTCGGGTCCTACAATATTTCAGTCTCGTTGTAAACTCAGCATCAAGGTAGGGCATTCTCTTACCACGCACCCGAACTTTGGAATGCTTTTCCCACAAACATTAGGAATGCTGGTTCCCTGGATTGTTTTAAGAAGCTACTTAAAACTCGTCTTTTTATTTGTAATATCTTTTTTTTTATTCTCACTGTGTTTTTTACTGTGTTCTTAATTGTTTTATTGTGCTTTGTTGTTTTTTACTATTTTGTAAGTACTTTGGGTCTTAGAAAAGCACATCATAAATAAAATTTATTATTAATATTATACTTCAAAATGTCAATTAACACAAGGTGATGTAAACAGCTTGAGATGAAACCAAACGCTAGATATAAATTATACTCTATTGTTTTGGTACAATCATTGTATTACCAAAAAAAAAAAAAAAAACACCTCTTAGGGTGTGTCCTCATCCAAGATATTTCATGTTTGGTCTAAAACTGCCTTTGTTTTATTGCTGAATAGCAATTGCAACTACATTTTTGTTTTTCCTATAGCAAAAATGTAATACAAAAGTTGTACAAAGTAACAATATAAAAGTTAAAAGCACTTATCTGGCGTCAGGTGATGCCAGTTTAAACATCGGTATAATCTGTGTCATGTGACTAAACATGTTTTTATTTTCATAATTTTTTTACATTTTAAAAATAATGATTATGTTTCACTTGCAGAAAAAGTAGTGTAGAACACTTTTAGTTGCATCCACTTGGGGCAAGCTTTGGAAAAAGCAAACATTTTTTTTCGATAAAAGCTATTTCATTGTGGATTAAAAGCCACACCTAGAAAAAAAAGCTTTCAAATCATCAATATTGTCAAAATAACCTATATTTATAGCTCCTATACACTTGCTACAAACTAAAATCCTTTTTATATACAATTATTAAGAACATCTCAGTACCACAGACTCACTCTCTCTTGTTTTACACATACACACGTTGCAATCTAGCATATCTGTTATAGTCATCCCTGTTATAATACTGCTTTGATACTTTAGCTTTGTTTATCTTCCAGCCAGAAGTATTGTTTTATATGGTATTGGATTATAAGATAACCACCAAATACGATTTTAAAAAATTTATCATCAAACCAATAATTTGTGTAATAAATTGTGCCATAATTTTTACTCGTATGGGAAGCAGCCTTGTACTAAGCAAAATATTGTACATCCAGCTGATTGGGATTGCAAACTAAACACTTCAGTGTGTCTCAAGACCACTTCAACTTCACATCAGTGAGTTTTATGTCTAATTTTTGTAATAAGGGAGAAAAAATATGTCCATTCAGTTGTTTTTTACAGAATAAAAAGCAGAATACTTGCCAAAAAATGTATAAGTGAGAAAAAAAACATTGTCCTGAGCCATAAAAGTTTAATGATTCTTTAAACTCAAAGCTGAAGGAAATGAAAACGACTGAATGGAGCATACACTAACCTATGTATTATTTAGTTACAAGATGACACCAAGCAGGGTAGACAGGGTAGACACATGGTAGACAAGTAGATACATGGTTGTGAGCATATTCATGGTAGTGAGCATATTCCAGATGATACGAAGTACCCGGATGAGCCTGTGTTAGTAGTTTCAGTGGTTGTTATCTGGAAATAACATACATTGGAAAGTGGAGAATGACCAATCAGAAAAGAGCATTCCAGACAGCTGTGTAATAATCTGCGATAACAACTGCCTGCATGTACTTTATTCTGCTTATTACATGACTACTTGCTACAAAATATAAAACATACAGTGTAGACACAAAATATTGCTCTGAGCCATAATAGTTTAATAATTATTTAAACACAAAGCTGAAGGAAATGAAAATGTCTAAATTGAGCGGATGGAGCATTTCCCAGAGATGAGTTGCGGCTGGAAAGGCCTCCGCTGCGTAAAAACTTGCTGGATAAGTTGGCGGTTCATTCCGCTGTGGCGACCCCGGATTAAAAAAGGGACTAAGCTGACAAGAAAATGAATGAATGAGCTGATGGAGCATACACTAACCTACGTATTATTCAGTCACATGATGTCACCGATCAGTCAAAAACAGGGTAGACACATGGTAGACAAGTAGATACATGGTTGTGAGCATATTCATGGTAGTGAGCATAGTCAAGATGATTCGAAGAACCCGGATGAGCCTGTGTTATTAGTTTCAGTGGTTGTTATCTGGGAATAACATACATTGGAAAGTGGAGTATGACCAATCAGAAACAAGTACTTCAGACAGCCGTGTAATAACAACTGCCTGCATGTACTTTATCCTGCTTATTACATGACTGCTTGCCACAAAATATAAAAAATGAATATAAAACATTGTTCTGAGCCTTAATAGTTAATTCTTTAATTAAAGGCAAAGCTGGTAGAAAGTAAAACAGGTTATCTGAAAATAACACCTTGGAATGTAGTGTCAGACCAATCAATATCAAGACATCTGTGAAATAATCTACAATAACATATGGCTTGATGTACATTATTCTTTACCTATGTAGCCTTGAGTTTTGTCAGATATTTTATTTTATTTCAAAATCTAGACCTTTTCAAAAAAGGTGTTTTGGTGAGGGATTTCCAATCGTTGAAATGATATAGATGGGATAGTGTTGGGGAAATCAGTGTTAGGGGCCCCCGTCACCCGGGTGATAATACTCTGTGGGCCCCCTCCTCTATCCCCTTGGGCTCAGCATTCCAGTGCTCTCCGTGCTCAGCCTGCAGAACCAGGTCACCTGAGGCAGGGCTGAGTGGGGGAATGAAAGAGCCAGTGTTCTCTCACTCAGAGCCAAAGTTTGAGCCCTGATTGATGTTCTCCATTGTCTGAACTGTGACCAGGAAGAGCTGGAACAAGCAGGCCTGGGATAATGGCGATCCTTCTCACCCTGTCTGAGGGCCAGATTCAGGAAGTATCTGATGTCTGAGCAGGGCTTTTCTGTATTATAGTGAGAACATTAGTTCCTCCTACATCACAGACTGAGGTTTTACTGTGGGAGTTGAGTGAATTGAAGCTGTTTGACTCTGAATATCTTACGGCCAAAAAGTTTTGCCTGTCAATATTTGAATGTGTTTGGATTTATTGTTTTTTTGCCTTGCTTTTAAAGCAGGTAGTGTAGCAATATTTTTATAACATAATATAAACATAAGATCATATTTAAGGATCACATTAATAGATTAAATAAATAGTTTAGCTTTGCCACTATGCTTAGCCTCTAGGTTTTACCAATATATCATCAAGTTTTTAATAATTAAAAATAGAAAGACATGTATATGATCACTTATTATCCTATATTTTACGTAGAGGCCAGAATGTTTAATTTTTAGTTTTGTCAATTTCCTTCGGCTTAGTTCCTGATTTATTGGGGTCGCCACAGTGGATGAACCACCAATTACTCTGGCACATGTTTTTTTTATGTGGTGGATGCCTTTCCAGCCTCAGTTTTTTATTTCAACATCATTTTCAGTAATATTGTTTAGAGATTTGTCATATTTCTGTCATTTACATGATATCTGTGCAAGACAATGGTAAAAATTAACATAACAAGAACAGACAACATTATATACTAATCAATATTTTAAGTGGACCAAAAAAGATTTTCAAAATTCTCCTAAACGAAAAAGGGGTTTGAGCACATTTACTTATATCATTTTTTTTAATATCTTTTCTTTTATTCAGACAGTGGACATGCACAGGGAGAAGGTGGCCCGCAGAGAGATTGGTGCATTTACAGTTGGGAAGAGGGTTCCTCGCAATCATAAAGTTGTTCCACCAGCAAAAAACAAAGAAGCCAAGCTAAAGTACACCCGCACACCCATCTCTTTCTCTAGCTTGGACTCTGTTGGCCATGGAGTGAAGGTGAGAAAACATACAATCTCATGAATTGGGTGTTGAACATTGTTAAGGATGTTCCTAATTGACTGCAGTAGTTATTAAGCAACAAAAAACTAATCATAATCTGACTTTTTTAAAGGTCCCATGAAGTGTTATAAAATGTGCATTTTTATTCGATGTTTGACATAATCTCAAGCAAAACTCGAAGAGAGGGTGGGACATAGTGTAGCCCCTCCCCTTTTTAAAAACTGCCAATAGCGTTTTGTTTTCATCACCACTCTTTGGAGTGAAAGCGATTAAGCACAAGTGCATCGAATGAAAATTAAATGAGAAGCATCTTGAAGGGGCGGGGCTTGTCAGATACTAGAGATCATTTGATTGGTTATAATTTAATCAGAAACTGTAGTATGAGGTGATGTGGTTAAAAACATTGATCCATTGAGTTGGAGATGACAAATACAAGCCTTGCATTAGTTTTATGTCTTCGACACAAAATTTGTTGCTGTTTTGTAGCTTATAGATATCTTAAAAACTAATAATACCGATACTAACATCTAAAAACCTTTATTTTAATTTCATGGCACTTTTAACTCATTGAAATGTATGTGTTTATAATATGTTTAGTTTTTTTTTTGCAAATTTATTAACTGTAAATAGAAAAAATATTTATTTTTTCAAAGGATATTAAGTGTCCTTTGCAAATTATAAATAATGTAGCTGTGTTTGAATATTAAAAACCTGCAAACTTTTAAAGCTAAAGTGCACAACAAATAAATAAATAGTCTTTATTTCTGTAGTTATGAACAATAAAAACAAGTCATCAGTGATTCTAGTTTCACTTAGATTTATTACAAGTGTATGTCCTGTCAGTCTTGCCACATACATTTTATTCTGCTACAATTCATGGACTTTCACACAAATCTATGTTACAATCACTGAAGCTGAGCTATAAATCACTTACTTGGATCATAACTGCACTGTAGTTTATGATAAGAGAGTTCTGAAGAGTGCAGAATTTATTCACTGAGCTCAGGCACTTAATAAAAACTCATTTTATTTACAGCCTTAACTGATCTTATCAAAATCTGATTGACCATTAGGAACAGAAATGTGTGTCAATGCTTATTAATCTCTCAACTTACCACTAAGAAACCTCTTGCTCATGTCACACACACAATATAGGTTTAGGTTAATCAACTATTTCCTCCTAATTTACCACTTTTCTTTTAGCCTCTAGTGTTGGAATTCAGATATGGTGATGATGGGTAATTAGTTTCTTAAACATTCGATAAGCCGTTGAACCCAATCAAAGCAGATTGGGCAGACTGACCAATCAGAGCAGAGCAGATTTAGTTGTTTGAGTCTCAAAAGAGGTCGTGTGGAATGTATATAATAAAAAAAATGAATGTATTTTGAGACCTTTAAAACAAAATGAGAAAGATTTTTAAGAGTATCAATGTGGTAATAATAATAATAATTAATAATAATAATAATTCCTTACATTTATATAGTGCTTTTCTGGACAGTCAAAGCACTTTACACATTTTTGGGGGGAATCTCCTCATCCACCATCAGTGTGCAGCGTCCACTTGGATGACGCGACGACAGCCATATTGTGCCAGAATGCATACACCAGCTGATTGGTAGAGAGGAAACCAGTGATGTGATGAAGCCAGATATGATATGGGGATGGTTAGGAGGCAATGATGGAGAGAGGCATGGGCAAATTTAGCCAGGATGCTGGGGTTAAAACCTTACTCTTTTTTGAAGGACATCCTGGGATTTTTAATGACCACAAAGAGTCAGGACATTCACAATACTGGGGCATTAGGACACACACAGACTGCAGGTTGAGCGCCCCCTGCTGGTCTCACTAACACCACTTCCAGCAGCAACCTAGCTTGTCTGTGTGGTCTCCCATCCAGGTACTGACCGGGTACAGCCCTGCTTAGCTTCAGTGGGCAATCATGTGGCATTGCAGAGAGCTGCCAATTTCTGCTGCTTTAACATTATTCACCAACATTTCCACAGAAATTGGAAGCTTGTTGCTTGAAATGCTTCTCTAGTCCATGTTTTAACCTAACCTTTTTTTTTTTTTTTTAAGAATGTAACTATAATATAATAGTATACAGGGGGAATAAATGATGACCCAGCATTAGAAATTAGAAATGAAATTATAAAAGAAGTTAGAAATGAGAAGTAAAATGGTAAAAAGTAGAGTATGCTCATTAAGCTTAATTATTCTTTTTAATCTTTGTCATATTTGACCACATCCTGTGATAAAACAGTTTAGCCTGGCATGAATTAACAGTGCAAACACACACACACACTCAGAGCAATGGCACATTCAAATCACTCTCTTATTTTGCCTCAAACACACACACATTCAAACACTCACACTCACGGTTGGTTGGCTGGCCACCAGCCACTAAGCAGCGTGGGAAAACAGCTAGAGTCATTAATTGGTGCTAGTACCCATGCTAAGCTAGCTCATTGATACCCTGTTAGGTCCGTAAAGCAGTGAGCAGACAAACAAACACAAAGCTATAAGCATTTCACAGGAATGCACTTGTCAGAGACGAAACAAGTGGCACAAAACCACAGAAAACTGCTGAAGCACACATTTAGATTTAGAAAGTCTAGCAGGTTTGCCCACACATCTACCAAAGCTTCTTTTTTTTTACATCTAAAGTTACTTTTTAATTTAAAATGCTATTGTTTTAATCATTAAATGTATATTTAGGGGCACTTTGGGTCAGTGAGACTGTATTTAGGGTAATTAATTTGCCAGGATGCATTTAATAGATTGATCAAAAGGGACAAATACAGCGTTACAAAGCATTTCTATTTCAAATAAACGATTATTCACCAAATAAACTGAAATCTTCAAACCCGTCATCACAGATTCCACAAAATTATTAAGCAGCTAATTTGAACATATAAATTGTTAGCATTAGATTAGCTTACAGATTGTTAGCACGACAATAAAATGACTTCTGAAGAATCCTAAAAAAAAAAATCATACAAAAAACAAATGTAAACGTAAAAAAAACGTAAATATATATTTATTTAATCAGAATCTCTCCAGAATAAGTGGATAATATGGAATCTATTTAAGAGTAGTGTAAATTCCGACTAACTTCATTGTGACAAACCCTTCCTTATTATAATAAGTAGGTATGCAATTTCGAATGCAGCCAATGTTTGTTTGCACATGAAACTATTCAATATTTTTAACTCTTCCAGTGCTCAGATATTTCTGGACATGAAATTTGCTAATGCTGATAAAAAGGAGTGAGGCTGGTCAGTTTGTAATTGGTTTGTGGATTGTTTTTGTTTTTATATTAATGTAGCTCCATCCAGAAACCATAATCATCCTATTTGTTGTTTTCAGGATTCTGGCCAACCACAGTTAAAAACGGCTACCATGTCGCGCAGCGGCAGCATACTGAGGTACATCTAGCACACTCACATTTGTCTAGTATCTTACATAGGATGTGTTATTTTAGCAATGTTTACACACTTTTCGATTTTTGACTGAAAGTTTGAATTTGATTTGAATTTATTTTATTCTTTATCTACTTTTTGTTTTTTTTATTTTGGTAAAACTTTATTTTTAAATTATTTGCTAAGGCAACATTTCTATTGTTAACTTTTTATTTTATTTTACATTCAATCAATTAGCAGACACTTTTGTCAGTGTGAGTGATTTACATGTTAAGTCAATGCAAAGACATGAATAGACATGCTGTGGTGCTTTATGGACAAATGAGGAGCCGCAAATAAAGCAGCGCTTGTTGAATGTTTTGCACAATTAACGTTTTGTGCGAATCCCTCAAGTTGGAAAATCTAAACTTCAGTGGAAATTTGCATTACATTAACCAATCAGAAACTTTCTCCTGTACGGGTGTGATTATGAAGTAGCACCAGAAACCAGGTATAGTTCTAGAGGAGTTGATGAGCTCAAAGAGCTGAGTGCACCTCTAAAAGGATCTAGTGGACTCAGACACGGTGCCAAACAAATATATACACTGTTTTCAGCCATCCTAAAGCACATAAACAGCTGTTCTCCGCGAATCCGCGTCTATTGTGAAGTGAATTTGATGCTCGAATGAAGCGAGTAAACTCAAAATGTTCACAAGTCTATTTAGGTGCGAATAGCATGTTTTATTTGCGCGTTCTGCATCTGCTGTGAACACAGCATAAGGAGTTTAAGTAAAGTGTCTGGTGCATATAGAGAGAAGAATGTTTCTACAGGTGGTTTGTCAAGCCCACTCACCTGTGTGAACTACACTACGTAAATGCACAATGTTTTTCTCTTTTTTTCTTTTAGAAATATGGTGAGATTATAAAAAAGTGGTGCAAATGTGCAAAACTGCTGCAAGTGCCGGTTAAAGTGTCAGAGAGATGAAAGAGTGTGTTTTCTACAAAGTTTATTTGATTATTTTATGCGACTCTTAATAATTTTATTGAACAATCCTGACAAATTTACTGATACTGACACCTCAACAATACTGACTTGTGCCTGTTTCTTTAATTGAATTGACATGTTCTTTAAAGCTGCTTGTGTCAGTCATTTTTTCGTTGTCTTGTGCCATTAACACAAAGATGCTGTTTTCACACAATCTTGAGATGCAAGCATTCATTCTTTATACAGGATCTACCTGTTATCTCTAGAACATCCTGTGTGACACCCACACAACCGCAGCCACTGTGACTATCATGCTAGTGATTACATCTTCTTTCACTTTATATTAGATCCTCCTTGAAAATCTCTCTGTTACGCTTTAAAAAAAAGTATTCAGATATACAGTCACATTAGCTGATGGAATCAGACACACTCGTGCAGTCTCAGTCCTGCGTTCCTCTTCTGACTCAGTTCGAGAGCCTTTCTCCAGGAAGTGCTTTTTGTTTGTTCTACCCACTTCCCCTCTTTGCGCGGCCTGAAAGCTCTGTGGTGACTTTAGTTTTTCAGCACGAGCACATGAGACATGCACACGTCTTTTCAGAGCAAAGTGTATTTCTGCAAAAAATACAGAAGTTCTTGCCTAATATGAACTGTTTGGCCACTCATAATGTGTTTCGTTTTCTGTGTGTTGATGAAGTCGAGGCGGTCGTCCTCCAGAGCCAGTCCAGTGTCCTGTGGCCCCCAGTCTGTCTCATGGAGCATCACTGACCTCACTCAACGACAAGTCTATCACGTAAGAACACACTTAAAAGCCACATTTACTAACAGCTTTTCCCTGAACAAATCCACGATTTCCTAAAAAACATGCTGTGAAACATTACACTGTGAAAGAATGCTTTTCTTACTTAGAGATTTTGCCTTGCATCTAGTAAAATTATCTAAATATTCCTAAAACAAGAAACATTTTCAAGACAAGCTTATAATATTGTCCTTTTCTGAAATGATAAGTCCAAATTATGTTAATTACGTTAAAAATTATTAGCAAATTAAAATAAATACTTAATTTTGACTTATTTCTAAAAACAAAACAATATTTTATGTTTGTCTTGAAAATATTTAAAGAATTGTTAGATATTTGGACTAAATACAAGAGAAAACCCTTAAGTAAGAAAAACTTTTTTTGCAGTGTACAGATGAAAAATCTTATTATGCAGTTATTTTTGCGACCTTATTTGATTGCATTTACAACAGTTTCCTTTTCAGGTGCAACATTTATAATAGGAGGGTATTTAAATAGTAATTAAAAATAAATAAATCATGCAATGTCATTTACTAAAATGTATGTAAGTGGTCCAAAATGAAACAAAAAGTGCTCAGGTGTAGCTTAAATAATGTGCCCGTACTCTTTAGGTTAGGGATTCACCTTGATTTTTATAAATGTAAAGCCATTGGAAAATGTGGATTACAAGTACATATAATGAACACGCATCATCTTCTTTAATATGACAAAAGATCCAAAGAAAATAAGCACTTTGCCACTTTAGCTAATTTTTAGTGTAATGTTTTCCTAAGGTTAAGTCTTCCTAACTCTATTTCTTCAATCACTGCAGTTCGAGTTTTGGTATAGCTGTGCCACCTCCTGTAGTGCCCAGCTGGCCCACCAGCCCTGATAGTGACATCATCGGCACACTATCGGAAGAAGTGCGGGAAGAAGGACCACCGCCTCCACCCCCAATGATGGAGGCAGAGGGTGAAGTGAATCATGCGCAGGAGGCCGCTCCACCAGCTCCACCACCACCTCCACCTCCTCCCATGGATTGTCCCAACAGCATCCCCCCGCCTCCTCCAATGCCCATCTCATCTACACCTGAACCAAGCAGCATGATGGCCATACCACCTCCCCCTCCTGCTCCACCTCTTGAAACAGGTTAGTTTGTGCTGACAGAAATAATCATTCAATATGACAGATAAGGTAACAACAGGCTACACCGTGAGATATGCAGTGTTGGGCAAGCTACTTGAAAATGTAGTGAGCTTAGCTATTAGCTACTCTACTTAAAATGTAGCTCAACTACACTAAAAGCTACCCCCTGGGAAATGTAGCAAGCTAAGCTAAAAGCTACAAGGCAAACTTAGCTTAGCTACATCCAAGCTATTTTTGCAATTTTTATTTTGAAATCGAAACAACTTAAATCCAAGTCAATCATATCTTAGTGATCAATAAAACTGTCAATGAAACATATGAGGCATAATAGTTCAGTTCGGTCATTTACTGTAAATAGTATGCTGTACTACACAGAAACAAATTATAGTATAACAGCTAAAACAAAAAATTCAATAAAACCAGGTGTACACATTTGAAATACTATAGTAAAGAGATTTTTTTTGGAATTATATATATATATATATATATATATATATATATATATATATATATATATATATATATATATATATATATATATATATATATAGTTATTGCATCTTAACATGTACTTCTCGAGGTATGGTCACGAGGAATCCTGCTTCAGAAATAACTCCTCTCCCCAGTCATCTTTCCGTCAAGCAATTTCGGTTGGCGACATCGCTAACCAGAGGTGGCAGTAACGCACCAAAAAGTTTGTTGTCGAACACCGGAAAACAGGAAGAAGAAGAATTCCTCATTCTAGCCATCATATTCATTTACTTTCACCCGCTACTGCGCTACTTGACTAATAAAATAGCTTCGCTACTGTTGTAAAAAAAATAAATGAGTGAAAAAGAAGAGAGAACCCAGTCCAGGAGACTCGAAACAAGCAGAATTCCTTTATTGAGACGTGTTGGTTAATCTGCAGTCATACAGCGTCTTTAAGATGTCCAATGTGTCTGCAAGAGCCTACTAGAGGTCCGCAGTCTGCAAGTTCTTTCACAAGTCTCTCACAAGTCTCACACAAGTCAGCAAATAGTCTGATTTAAGACAAAGATTTCATGGCTATATTGTGTTCTTAGGAGGAGGGGATCTGGCTAAACAAAGCATGCAAATTCAGTATTGGAGTCAGCATGGCATAGGTGTTAAAAAACGGCCCAGCTACTGACCACACAAGTTAATCAACATAGGGTTTCTGTAGCATAAAAGCAACACCCGAAGACAAAGACAGAATCGTTTAAAGCATTTGCATCACTGACTTAGCCTGTAGTCAGAAAGATAAAGGTTAAATGTCCCTCCTAGCTGGGATGTTAATGAAATTGTATAATTAAAAACCAAAGAATATAACTTTTCAGTTATACGTAGATTATTGTTCATTTGGAATTAGTTGATAGAAATTTATATTTCCACACTACTGAAAAGCTATTTGATTTAGAAAGTAGTGACACTACCGCCAAGCTACTGAGAAATGTAGCTAAGCTAGTAGCGTCACTACTTGTTGCGACGCTACTGTCCAACACTGGAGATATGTAAGGCATAAAGTACATCCAGGCGGTTGTTATCACAGAATAAATCTTGACAGTATATTTAACAGTCTGACATGAAGTGAAGCAAAGCTGACAGAAATGAAAACTTCTGAACGGAACAGATGGAGCATACACTAACCTATGTGTTATTCAGTAATAAGCTGTCAAAAATGAAAATGGTTGTGACAGACAAGCGCCAATGTATTTATATGACTATGAATGTATGCACTGATGGAGAAGATGATTTGAAGATCTCGGATGAACCTGTTATTAGTTTGTAGTTTAAATGTGGAAACTGACCAATTAGAATCAAGTATTCCAGAGAGCTGTGTATTTATATGTGATAATGTTTTTGTCCATGTTAGGTGATAATCAGCTACTTTACAGTAGTCAACAATTGAAGTGGATGAAAAGTTTCTTAAACTATTGAACGAAACTCATTCTAGTGGTGATGGCGCAGTAAGTAGCGTTGTCGCTTCATAGAAGGAAGGTTGCTGGTTTGAGCCTCAGCTGGGTCAGTTAGCATTTCTGTGTGGAGTTTGCATGTTTTGCATGTCCAAAGACATGTGGTATAGGTGAGTTGGGCAAGCTAAATTGGCCATTGTGTTTGTGTGTGAATGAGAATGTATGGGTGTTTCCCAGTTATGGGTTGCAGCTGGAAGGGCACCCGCTGCATAAAACATAAAAGTTGGCGGTAGTTCCGTTACGGCAACCCCTTATTAATAAAGGGACAAAGCTAAAAAAAAGAAAATGAATGAACACTTATTCTTGTCTTAGGACAATATTGAAAGTCTACTTTGATCCACTTCAAATGTTTCTTACATACTGTACATTGATATTAAAAATATGTTTTGAAAGAAAATTCTTACCAAGGCTGCATATATTTATCAAAAAACAAATATATGACCTGATTTTTTATTTAGTAAAAAAAAATAATTCAAGGAAAGATAAATATGCAACATACAAACCGCTAAAAAGAGCTGAAATATGGCATAGTCCCAAGACAAAAGGCATATTGACACTGTAAAGGATATCTTTAAAACTAGTAAAATGAGTATTAAAAACAAACAAAAATGTGCTATAGAAGTAAGTATGCATGTGTCAAGTAAAAATGTAGTGTAGCCAGTGTTTCACAACTGGTGGGTTGATACCCAAAAATGGGTCACAGAAGAGGTCTGAGTGGGTTGCAGAGCGTTCTTATGATGCTTTTAGATTTTCAAAGATGTGTGTGAAAGCTGTTGATGCTCCTTTTAGATGTGGTTCATATGCGTATGAGAAAAACGCATTCACCTAAAGGCCATTTCAGACCACTTGTGGCATTCGGAAATCTATTTTCAACAGTAGAAATGCAGAAAGCTGGTTTCAGTGGTGCCATGAAGGCAGTGGCTGCATGCAACCAGTGCTCAACCACCTGCTTTACAAGCCCAGCCTCTGAGCTAGAAGTAGGCTTGCTAGGTAAAAAAAAAAAATGTTATATAATAAATAAATAGAGTTGCAGTTTAATACCAAGAGAAACTATTGGTCCCAGATCCAAACCAGTTGATAATTACTGGTCTAGTCCAATGGCACATTTGGTCACTGAAGTCAAGGCAGAGTAAGTGAATCAATAAATATTAGTTGTACAGTGCAACAGAATTAAGTCGATTGTTTTTAACCAGTGGCTGAGGAGATTGGCTTTCCTCCACCTGAAGCTCTCGGTGACATGCCTCCTCCACCAGCCCCTGATGGCATTGATCTTCCAAGCCCACCACCTCTGCCTGGAGAGGAAAACATCGAAGGTACAAAAATGTCCAAACTAAAGCGCATGCTTGTTCAAAAGTGATATTTTGTTGTGCGCCATGCTTCAAAATGATATCACATTTACTTTATCTTGCAGCCATTTTATCTAAGTGTGTGATCGTGGTGTTGTGGTTATTTGTATCTGCAAGCTTTTATTCTCGGAGCTCTTATTCCCCACACTTGTCTCTCTCTTGTCACTCAGCTCTGCGTTCTCGCCGGTCACGGGTGCGACGTCATCCTCCTAGCACTCGCTCTCTCTCTCTTAGGGTCCGCATGGGCCCCAGCGCTCGCTCGCTGTATACACGCTCGCTTTTCCTGCCTGCTGCTCAATCACGTAAGGCCTGCTCAGTCCTTATTTACTGAAGCTCACTGCTAGTTTTTACTGTTGATGGCAAAAATTTTAAAGAGATTGTTCACCCAAAAATGTAAATATGCTCACCATTTTTTTCACTCTCAAGTGGTTCCAAACCTTTACGAGTACATTTTTTTTTGGTAGTGAATTACAAAAGAACATATTTGGAAGAATTGTGTATATTGTAACTATTTACATCCTAAAGAAATAGTAGTTACTAGTTTCCAACATTCTTCAAAATATCTCCTTTTGTTTTCAACAACAAAAAAACACATAAAGAAACAGGTGAAGCAAACATACAAAGGCTTAGAGTCTTAGGTGCTGTTTACACTAGTGCATTTTGGTTTTAATACACATGTATATTTATTAAAGTTATGTAAACACAGTGTTTTGAAAACATTAAAGACCTGGTTTAGTTTGCATACTAATGCGTGGCTATCCACAATTGCTCTCTCATTGCTCTTTTAGACTATTGCGTATCGTTCTCTGATGCCCTTACATATGACTACTACACAACTGATAGACAGCAAGTACTGATGCCGGCAAAATGAATACATGCCCAGTGAGCATGAATGGTATAGAAGGCTGTGGAAGAAGTCTGTTTTTTCGAATCCCAGTAAAAATTCTAGTCTGGATGAGGAGCACTTGTATTCTAATATGCCTTAAAACTAAAACACACTAGTGTAAATGCCACTTTAATATTTGGGTGAAGTAACCCTTTTAAGTCAACTAAAACACTTCTGTTTTCTGGCATGCCAATATTTCAAAGACCCATTAGTCAAAAGCTTTGCCTATTTGGTCTTCAGAGTTTCACATTCTTACTGGCTGGAAGATGTCTCCAGTCTGTACAGACTATTTCTCCATGTCATGCTGCTTCTCTTTATTGACACCTGTCAGTCATGATCCCCCCGCCCCCTCCATACCCTCCTCCTCTGGCTCCGCCTGCTTCGCTCAGTCCATTGTGCAGGATTCCTGCCCGCCTGCAGCACCTGGGTAAGTGCTTTTCATTTCTGTTTGCCACTTTCTCAAAATGCTTTTCAGCAAGCCATTTTAGCCAATTTTTGTTAATCATTTTTGATTGTGCACTTGTTTTACATCCTCAACAAAATTAAATTTCTCCTGGAAATGGAAAGCTTGCAGAGGAGATGATGCATTTTTTTGTCATTTGACAGCTGCTGCGAGGTGGAAAAATGTGTACATGCATGGCAGTTTCTGCTCTAATGTTGTCAATGTGTTAACGTTGTGTTTAGATCTTGAGATTCCAGCACCGCCCCCTTCACCACCACTAGACGATTTTGACAGCTATGAGGAAATGCCCCCTCTGCCTCCCCCTATTGACTATGACATGTCAGCACCAGTCGACTATCTGGAGAAAGGTTAGAGGTTTTATTGTCATAGATATCTAGCTTTGTGATTATACTGTTTCAAATTAAGGGTTTAATTTTCTGTTTATGGAACTTCTATTCAAAAATGTTTTTATATACAATTTTTGAATAGATTTTACACAAATTGAAAATCACAGTGGACAAAAATAGCAATTAATATGAAGCTTAAAATAAAAATAAAATAAAAAAGAATTACATATAGCTTAATTTCTAACATGTGATAATCATGGAGAAGAACAGAGGTTTTTATCCAAGAAATTCAGACATCTTAATATTGCCAACCCCAGAATCCAAATAAATGTACAAATTGTAAAAAAAAAAAAAAAAAAAAATATATATATATATATATATATGAGGAATTCCATGCAAATGTCAAATGGTAATAAAAAAATTAAGTTTTCAACAAAATACGGAAAGCGTTTCTGGGTTTTTTGTTTAAGTATTTTACAGTACTTTATAAATACTTAAAAATGCATCTGTCAATGGTTTTAAACTATTCTATTTGATTTACCAAAGTCACACAAGTGGCAATTTTTTACATCTGTCACATTCATAACGGAGAGATGTCACATCCATAACGACACTTTTTCCTCATAAAATTGAAAATATGAGTTGTTCTGGAAAATATAAACAAAAGTTCCAATGTAATGTTAACATATGCTTTCTATGCAAATTTACGTTTTGAGTTTTTACTGCAAATGTCACATCCATAACTCTTGAATTGCACATATATATATATATATATATATATATATATATATATATATATATATATATATATATATATATATATATATATATATATATATATATATATATATATATATATATATATATATAAAGGGTTTGTGCTGCAAATAATCCATATACATAATAAATAAGGAGTGATAGGTATGTTTCGCTTTGTGATTTTTATCCATTATGCAAATAACATTATGAATGGCATTTTAATATGATATCAGTACAACAAGCAATTCTGTGGCCAAAGCTTTAGTTTTTTTCCATTTATTTATTTTTTGTATTTCCTACAGCACAGTAATGTTCAACACATCTGTCATATTGGCGTTATTTGTGGTCTGCTGAGAATAACTTGTTATTACGGCCATAATAATGCCACCCCATTACACTTACAGTAGCTTATAAAATCATTTCACTGATTGTTTAGTTTAGCGGAAATTACTCCCAAAACTAACACAAAGCATTTTGAGGCATAGGAAAGATTTTGCATGGTGAATCAATATTCAGTAAAATCTTTTTTTTTTTTTTTTTTTTACTAAATGATTCTATTTACATTTAATTACTATTAAAGAATTTGTACAGAGACTGATTTTCCATTGTAATCTTCTTTTCTTCCAAGTGGTGGCACTATATACATATGACACAGGCAAGCCGGGTGACCTGGTGTTTCAGGAAGGGGACATCATTTACCTCACCAGCAGGAATGAGGACGGCTGGTGTGAAGGGGTCCTGAACGGAGTTAAGGGTTATTTTCCTGGCAACTATGTGGAGTCCACTGCTTGAGTCCACTGCTTGACCGGCCATATGTTTTTACAATGTCACTGAGCAAATTATTTGAGACCCGAAGCACCTTCATTTAACATTTTGTCAAGTGAATCTGTTTAGTTATATTGGCTGTACTGAGCTCCTTTTTGTTGTAGTTCTTGTTCTCAAACATCACAAAAGCTACTAACATGCTGACCGATGTTCCCAGCAAAGATGAGCTTGCGTTTATGAAAATACCCTGTCTCAAGTTTACTCTGGTTTTAAGAATAATGATCATTTATCTCTCAGGACTTTAAGTTATAATCTCAATGTACGACATATAAAGAAACATTTTATGTGCATTTCAGATGTATTTGATCTATTAAGATTATAAATGAATTCATATTTTAGTTTGAATAGGTTTTTATGCAGAGTAAATATAATATAAAATAATATATTTGTGTAATTTAATTTAGTTTCCTAATTAACATTTATTGCTTGTGATCAGTTTATAACATTTCTTAGATTCCCTTTTGCGAATATTGTATTTAACAATATTTGTACTGTGGTGAGTTAAGGAAATCTGTTAATGTGCACCAGCTCACGTCACTGTTTTATGGTACCAAGTTAGCTTTTACAGTCCACAGGCTTTTTGATCTGTTCATTTATAATGAACAGGCTCATCTGTCTTATTTTTTACTTTTCTAAACTGTTACACAGTTGTCTATTTCATGTTGAGGAAATGTATAAAAATTTCTTTGATGTAAATGTGTGTCTCTTTGTTTTACAAAAATGAAAGAGTAATTATGGAGAATATACTGTAATGTATTTGGAAACCGTACAACCTTATAGGTCTCCTTTATTAATGATCATGCTGATTGTGTTTGTTTTCTAACACACATTCAAACTTCTCCCAAATATGTACACCTAATTCACCTTAGTCATGTACACACATGAATTTGTCGCTAAGCTCCTGTCACTGCTGAGCATTCTGAATGAGTGCCAGAATGAATGAGCTTAGTCATTCCTATAAAACACACCCAAATCATTGCCAAATAAGGGTTTTCCACTCAACCCAGCAATTCTTTTCAGATCTACCTGAGCCTCCAGCAATGCTAAGAGTGCATTAATAATAAACAATACTGTGAAATAATTTGATATCTAAACTAATATGGCCATTTTGAAATGCACTGTCAAAAATTCAATGCATTTTTATGATCCTAAATCAGAAAAAGGTAAATAATAATAAAAATTTATTATGTTACTATTCATGTTAATAAGTATTTCTAACTAATTTCTCATTTATTTATTAGCAACGACTCCCAATGTAATGATACAGATGATATAATGGCTGTGCTTTAATGATGAACTGAGACACATTGACAAATCATCTTCTAAAAACAAATAATGAACTCACGCTGTTGCTGTGTGATATCTGGAAATAATGAATGTCCACAAGGTCAAATCTCCAGGTATTATAAAGGCTGGAGATACAGGTGCTGTGTCTTTAAACAGCAGACACTGGCCATAAAAGTGTTCAAACTTCACTATCAGCACTTTAAACCCTCCGCCAGATAAGGCTCCGGCTCAAATCAGAGCAGAGCACTTGTGGTCTACAACACCGCCTTCATCATCTGTGCTGTTCGAGGTAAGACTTATTACTATTTTTTTCACTTAAATACCTGAAAATGTACCTGGGAAATAAATTGTAACAACACACATGACTGGATTGGTATGAATGTATTGATCTGTAGCCTGTTGGTAATGATAAAGCCGGAAACAGTTTAAACATTATCATATTGGCTAGCGTTTGTTTATTTTGGGACTCATGTGATGGTGTGAAGGCTGGTATCTTCAAACACTACTCGCATCTAAGAGAAATCCATGTTACTGTTCTGCTTTCTGAAGTCAAATGAAGGGTTTCTGATTCACCTGAGCTAGTCTAATATTCAGTCCAAACTGAGAGAAGATCACTACCCTTTTTACACAGCCTGGGACTAATTTTCATCCCCCTTGCGCCCAATGAAAAGGCTTATCCCATAGATGGCTTAATCGGCCCCTGGCTGGCAGTAACTGCTAAACTGACTAAATGTAGTGTGAAAAGCTTGTTCTTCAAATCAACATGGTTATATAAGGAAAATTGATTCTGGATTATAAATGTGGTTTGTTATCTCTGTTATATTGTGGTTATATCCGTCCTCACTTTACATCTGCTCTAATGGAACACTTGTTTTTTCCAGTTAGCAAGACGTCTCTTGTAACTGTCTTGACTCAGTAGTTAGAAACATTTATTAGAAGGTTGAACACTGTTTAATATTCACACAGTGACTTTGAAGGTTCTAGGAAACATACAATTTATTATTTCCTTCACGTTTGCTCATTATAAGTGATACAGAATTCTGTCATAAGTGCAAACTGAATTATCTCAATTACCAATAAAAAAGGGCTTCTAATTTTCTCATTCAACATGAAATATAAAAGATGAGAAAAAAGATGGGGGGGTGAAGGGGTTGTGGCTTAGTGGGTAGCTATGCCGCCTCACAGTAAAAAGGTCACTGGTTTGAGCCTTGGCTGGGTCAGTTGGCATTTCTGTGTGGAGTTTGCCTGTTCTCCCCATGTTTATGTGGGTTTCCTCTGGGGGCTCCGGTTTCCAAAGACATGTGGTATAAGTGTATTTGGTAAACAAAATTGGCTGTAATGTACGAGTGTGATTGTAAGAGTTTGCACTAGGTTGTGGCTGGAAAACCATCTGCTACGTAAAACATGCCGGAATAAATGGCGGTTCATTCCGCTGTGGTGACCCCTGATAATCCGGGATTAAGCCAAAGGAAATTAATGAATGACATTGTTTTTGAATTTTGATAGTGTAAATTATGTGCTGATCTGTATTTTTTAATTTAGAGATGCATTTTAACGACCTGCGTCTTTAACCTCCTAGGTCTAGAGTCAACATATGTGGACACCACATTTTAGCTCTTATGTGGCTATTTAAATTTATTATTATTATTATTATTATTATTATAACCTTTATTTTACCAGGATAGACACATTGAGATTAAAAATCTCTTTTACAAGAGCGTCCTGGCCAAGATTAGGCAGTACACAAGTCACATGAGTCCAACAGACAACAAACAAAAAACAATTTAAAGTTAACATGAATCACACTGACAACTAATCAAAACATCTACAAACCTGTGTTTCAACTTCTAAAACTTTTATAGTCTTTTTAAAAGCATGCAGTGAAATCAAGTCTTTAAACTGCAACTGTGTTTGCAGAATATTCCAAGCAAAAGGTGCTGCGTACTTAAAAGCCTTTTTTTCCCATCTCAGTCCGCACTTTAGGGACAGAAAGTAAATAAATATCCTGTGAGCGAAGACCATAGTTAAGAACAGGCTTTTTACTAATTTTCTATTTCATATTCTGGAGATATGACAGGAGTAAACCCAGTATAGATTTGTAAACAAGAATATGAAAATGCTTGAGCCTACGAATGGACAAAGCAGACCAACCTACCCTAGTATAGGGAACTACAACAGTTTTGAAGCATATGGAATGTCCCAAACACTATTTTTAACTGTCCAAAATGGGGAAAAAATGTTGTTTTTACTCTGACAGTCAAAATATTTTTTTTATTATTTGTTAAATATGCATTAAAAAACAGTCAGGAAAATTGTTTTATGTAAATTTGAAACACGAGTTCACATATATGAACATCATTTTTCTATAAAGGTAGATCATATCAAAAGATGATACTTAGGTTTTATTAGGTTCCAATAATCCCAAATAGCCAAGAGAAATAAAAAATGCATGTACAAAAACTCCTTGGGCCTTAAGAGGTTAATATTTTAGGCATGAAATACTCTTATTTGATGATTATATTAACCTCTTGCTTTCTTATTGTACCTATTTAGTCTTAGTATTTATAGTTTCTCAAATCTGCTATAACAGAAATTCAACAACTCATGATCCAATGTATATTAATGCTCATCCTCAAATGTCATTTATTTCCTAACAGATTTTTTCTGAGATCTGAGGGATTTTCTTGAAAGATTCTTCATTGCCATGGATAATGATGATCAATTCCTAATATTTAAGTATGTATAACTGCTTTCAGTAATCCTTATGTGCTCTAATGTTAGGTTGTCTTTATATATATATATATATATATATATATATTAAAATTGTTAACAAAAATGTTAAATAAACATACACTGAAAAAAAAGACTTCTGCAAAATTGTTGCAAACAATTAATATGGGTTGAATGTAAACAAACAAAAAAAAGTTTAAAACCTTAAAAAATAGTAAATTCAAGGAATCATCTTTTAATCATTTTAAATCACAGTTTTTGCCTTTGTGAATTAAAAATATGCTATCCTTTAGCGTAATATTGAAGTAATTCCTAAATGTAGGTGACAAGGGAAAAGAGAGGATGCTCACTGCAGAGCCATTTGAGGAGAGCTGAGCTCCAGCGAGGGGGAGCATGAGCTGTTGCTCCTCCTCCTGTAAGCTGTTTTAATGCGTACACCAACCCCACCCCTAACCCTACCCCCAGTGACATCACTCGTAAAAGAAGTGCAAAAAAGGTGGAGCTCAAGCTTAAGCTCCCCCTCGCTGGAGCTCAGCTCTCTTCAAATGGCTCTGCAGCGAGCACCACTTGAGGGAAAATGTATTTGTGTTTTTGACATATTAGGCGGATGAATAGTAGTAAATGTGTCCATTTTATTTTTAACATTTGCAAAAGGTTCAAAACTTTTACTTGCTGGATGTCAATTATAACAGCCTTGAGAACATATACACAATCTTGTAAGAAATGTATACTATTGCATTTCTAAAAGTCTAAACAGAGGGATGGGTGATGGAATTCAGAAGAAATCTCTTTCTGAACAAGAAACACAGAAGTAGATCTTTTTTCTGCAACATGGTGTTCATTACATAGTGTTTTTACTTTAGCCTAACATAAAGAATCTAAATTTAAAAAGGAATGAAAGCACAATAGTGGGTTTATTTTATCATAATTTAATTTTTTATCATTTAATTTAATTTAATTTTACAGTACTCAGCATACATAAATACAACCCTCACAAATCTCTTTTAAATTAATATTTTTAATAGGAAGCTACAATATTATATTTGTGTTTATACATTATATAGTCCGATAACTAGTACACCCAAATTTATATGTTATAGAAAAATCTGAAATGAAAATTTACAAAAGAAGAAAAATTTATAAAAGCAAAAAAAAATAAAACTAAAAATTCAGTTGAAATTTTGCAGGTTGTTTTTTTTTTCTTGCAATATTTTGAATTTAATTGTATTATCTTTCAATTTCTATGTATGTTTTTTTTTATTAAAATATTTGAATAAATATATCTGTTCAATAAATCTGTTTTGTTTAAATGCACCAAAATACATTGCCTATATTCACTGAGAAATTGAGAAAAATATTCATTTTTAAACTGCGGTGTACTCAAATATGCTGAAAACTGTATATTATTTTATTTGATTTAATTTTATCATTTAGAGATTATCAAACTGAATTAAAACCATATTTGTTTTTGCATTTGGAGTACAAAATGATGGTAAAAAAGGATTTATGAACTTTGAAGTTTACTCTTAGCTTATTACCTCCTCCTAAAAATCTAAAAATGGTCTGTTACGTTTCTATACTTTTATCACTGTAGCCAACCAACACGTTAAATGAATGGCTTATATTCTTCTTTATCTAAGCTAATTGAAAATGACTTCATAAAGAGACAAATGTCTTACATTAAGAAACATATGGTTCTTTCAGGATCTTCATGCCTATCGTATCCTTCGGGATGCTGTCCATCTGCTGTGCTGGTTTCTGTAAAATGTTCCAGCGGTTTCGTAAGGAGCGTATAGAGCGCCTACAGGCTCAAGCTCGACATATGGATAGGCCGTCCGTGTACGTCATTCCCATCACTTTATCTGAGGATGATCTGCACAGACCCCCACGCTACAGCACAGTCCAGTTCTGTGAGGCTCCTCCGTCTTATAATGAGGTGCGTTATCTACACCACTAATAGCAAATAGCCTTTAAAGAGACAGTTCACCCAAAAATGAAAATTCTGCTATCATTTACTCATCCTTGACTTGTTCCAACCCAGTTTTTTTTTTTTTTGAACACTGAAATTCACAGTAGGAAAAACAAACTCTATGGAAGTCAGTAGTAACAAGGTTTTAACATTCTTCAAAATATCTTCTTTTGTGTTCAACAAAACAAACAAATTAAATGATGAGTAAATGATGGCAGAATTTTCATTTTGGGGTGGACTGTCCCTTTAAATAAGCTATTTTCCTTCTGAAAAAGTCAATGATAAAACATGATTCCTTCCTACATTTGCAGCTAAACCTGAAGCCTGAAGTGTCTCCTCTGGAACCTCCTCCTGATTATACAGAGTCCGTCTTTTCTTCTGGCTCATATTCATGATTTATCAACAGATCAAACTCACAGTAAGAGTTTTCCAGAGTACTTGGACTGGTTTGAAGAAAAATACGGATAACATGGTATCCTCATGGTTTTCCAAGGACTGCTATACAGTACATGCTGGCTATGCAAAGATTGAAATTATGAAGAAAAAAGCCTCACAGTTATGAAATAATTTGTTAATAAAAACACCCTTAGTAAATATGAGCAAAGAATATAAGGAAAAAAAATTATTTCATATTTAGGATCTTTTGCTCAAAATATTAACAAAGAAATTAAGTCGTTCGATTTTGGATAACAGTAAGAGTTTTTTCTTTTTTTTCAAACCCTTTCAGAGAGTTTGTTGTGATTTTGGTGAGGTTGGCTTGTAGTTTTAGAGACTTTTTGACTCTAAGATTCAACTAACATTTGCAGTTCTCCAGTCGTGATTCTTGAAAAAAATGTTTACCGCTCGAACCATCCTAACAGTGCGTTTGAACAAAAAACACATTGACTTTCAGCCAATTCATAACACCTACAACTAAGTTGCGCTTGTTAATTATTGCCATAATGATCAAAAGGGAAATTTTTCTGTTTTTTGGTATTTTCTTTTAGCCACTTCCCATTTTGTGAAGCTCAACAACTTTTTTTTTTCTTAAAACACAGCTCTGTTCCTTGGTTTTAACCACTGTGATGAATAACTGAGAGACTTTAGTCTTTGTGTTACCTCATATTTATAGCCCTGTGAAAAAGGTGTTGGTAGAAGGATTTTCTATTTCTAGTCAAGAAAATGTATTTAAAAAACAGGAATATGCATATAAATTCATGGTAGAGCCAATAATTGTGACATATTTATCTTACGTATATTTAATGAAGACATTTGTTTTTTGATAAAACTGTGCTGTGTTTGCACAAGTGTTTGCTCTCAGTGAGAGCAGAATGATTTATTCATATTTTGAAATAATATCTTGAGCAAAAAAAAAAAAAAAACTTTTCAAACTTCTTTGCTTGTAAATATCTAGTTTACCAACATCACTGGAGGGCTCTTCATAATAATATGTGATTCTGTTGGGATTTTAAACATCCTACAGGGTTTTATACAAAGTTTGTTTGCACAATGAGCAGAAATAACTTGTTTAAATGTTTAATATATATTCTGTTTTAATGAATATTTATAAATTGTGTACATAGCTAAACTGTTTTTGTTCATTTCAACATTTCTTATCTTTGTAAATATGATGTAAATTGTACAGCGAAAACTGTAACGAATACAATAAAACTGTTGTATATACACAGACCCTTAATATGTGTCAAAGTGTTAATCTGAGATTTAAAGCGCTGTATAGCGTAAGTCATTACACTTACTGTGTGGAATTTTGCTCTTCGTGGTCAACAAGAGCTGCACCCTCAGAGGTCAAAGTCCAGCACTGTTACATCAAAGGAAGATCCGTCCTCACTGTCCTACACGGACAGAAACCAATACAAGCCAATACAAGTGTTAAGTACAAGTGTTAATAATGCAGTGTTAAACATGCACACTTGGAGTTGTTGAGGGATTAGTACATTTTGTTAGCATTTAAAAAATAAATTTAACGAATAGAAAAAGTAACACAAAGGAATTTTATTTAATATGATTTCAATGTTATTTACTGTATAACTGCATATCCCATTGCAGGCATTTCCTCTCTTCATCCATTTATTTTCTTTTATAGCTTCTATTTATTACTGAAGCAGCAAAAATCAGTGTTTAAGACACAGTAGGATAAAATATGTGTTAGTTAATAGTGTATATTTTAACAGAAATTCCTGATTTGTATGTGTTTTTCCTTTTACGTACAATTTTAAATTGCATTATGCTGCCTTGATCTCTTCTCCGATAACTGTTTAAGCTTATTTTTCTGTCATTTTATTAAGTTGTTGCAAATAAAAAAGTGATTTGTCTTAGTTAATTTTAGACATTTTAAAATGTTGCAGGTATTTTTTATATTATTATTATTATTAGGTATGTACGTTGGCCAATTTTCTCACAATGCAAACAATTTATGAAAATGTGCTGCATTTTCTCACAACACTTGCAAAAACATCAGAACACAACGACCCAAAAACGTGATGGACACCGTTGTGCCATGACTATTGCTAGGTGATCTTAGAAAGGTGAGTTTTTTGTTTGTTTATTTTAACGTCCTGATTTTCTTGTCTTGTGTATTTTATTAGCCTAAATAACCATCACCTAAATAGCCGGGTTTGTCACATTTTAGGGTCTTCTTGAAACATTTACTTTGTGTTCTGCGTGATTTTAAAGTTTTGTGAGAAAATGCAGTGTGATTTTTTTTAAAATGTGCATGGGTTGTGAAGATTTGCAGCATGTGCTGTCAAACGCATGAAGATCTTTTCTTAATTTGCTGGCGTTTTTTGTAATTGCATGTGTTTTCTTAAATTGCAGCACATTAAGCTCTCTCGGCCACTGTAGGTATGTGTGAAACATAAACATTAAATAAATATCATCGTGGTGATCGTATCTTTTGAAGTAAGAAAATAAATTATGATAATCTAACTATTTTATTTAAGATACTTCAAAGCACTGCCTACAGCATCAATCTTTACTAATATCTTAATTTCTCAGTCCACATAAACTACCACAAAGCGGGATTAATGTTTATCCAAGAAGTGTTTAAAAAACAAGCCTTTTACTGTGTCTGGGTTGTAAATGCAATGGAATTATGATTGTAAGGGAATGTTTACAGGTTCAAAGGTCCACATTACTGCTGTTCTTGTACATCATGTCTTAAGTCAGTGGAAGAAAAATATAAAACCCGCCCATATCATCATATGACAGAAATCTTCCCAGAAGTGACACCATGGTACTGCCATAAATAGTGAAATGATGTAAGACTTCAGTATATGATGTGCAGAAACTTAAATGCGAGCTTTTTAAAAGGACTTGTAGTTTACAGGATTAAATACATTTTATAAAAGGCAGGCAGGAAATATTGTATGTTCCCGATGATTATTTGCTTTCAATTTAAAAATGATCTCCTCTTTAAAGATTTGAATTAATTATACTTTAATTTAGCATCTTCAGTTTAACAGGTTATCTTAAAAGTTCCCAACTTACACTGTATATGCTGGGTTCCACACAATTCCTTCATGTCCAAACACGATCAATTAAGTTAAATTCATTGTCTTTAGAAATTTAAGTACATAAAACAATTAAGTTTATTAAAGCTTATGGTTTAGCTTATTTCAAATATATTAATTTAAAACAAGCAACAAAAACGGTGTTCTCACCTGAACACGTGTGAGATGGTAAAACATGTTAGTAACAAGAGCGGCGGTGACCATACAGAACTGCTGATAACACATGATATATTTCCATCATGATATATTTAGGCTGGAAACCTGTAACCATTAATACTTTTTTCCTACTATAGAAGTTAATGGTTACAGGTTTTCAACATTGTTTGAAATCTTCTTAAACTCATAAATGTTTACAACCACTTGAGGTTGAGTAAATAGTGAGTAAATCTTTCTTTTTGGGTGAAAATATCCCTTTAACCCTTGCAGATCTTTGCGATTATGTAACATTCATTAATTTATCTTCTTTTTGGCTTAGTCCCTTTTTTAATCCGGGGTGGCCACAGCGGAATGAACCGGCAACTTATCCAGCACATGTTTTACGCAGTGGATGCCCTTCCAGCTACAACCCATCTCTGGGAAACATCCATACACATTGATTTACACTACGGACATTTTGGTATACCCAGTTCACCTGTACCACCTGGACTGTGGGGGAAACCAGAGCACCCCGAGGAAACCCACGCGAACGCAGGGAGAACATGCAAACTCCACACAGAAACACCAACTGACCCAGCCGAGGCTCGAACCAGCGACTTTCTTGCTGCGAGGCGACAGCACTACCTACTGCGCTACTGCGTCGCCTCATTATGTAACAAATTAGGCAAAATTAGTTTTCTAATTTCTTAGTGAAATTGTAATAGTTCTCTTTAATTTGTTAAATTTCTTTTTCACTATGTATAAATAAATAGTTCTGATCAACACCTTCATGTGAAAATGAAAATGATTTTAACAGCAATATTTTACCTCAATGCCAAGTCTTCATTCTTTGTTCCATTTTGTTGGCAAAGCTTCATATTATTTCTTTTTGGTATTATGCAGAATTTGTTATATTTGGACAAAAACAATCGAATAATTCCTTTATTCTGCATTTGATCATTGCAGGCCCAGTTTTTAGAATAATTATGCTGTGCAAGACGTTGGCTCAGTGGTTAGCACTGTCGCCTCACAGCAAGAAGGTCGCTGGTTTCAGTCCCAGCTGGGTCAGTTGGCATTTCTGTGTGGAGTTTGCATGTTCTCCCTGTGCTGGCGTGGGTTTCCTCCGGATGCTCCGGTTTACCCCACAGTCCAAAGACATGCACTGGGTGAACTGAATAGACTAAATTGGCCATAGTGTATGTGTGTGTGAATTAGGGCTGCACAATATATCATTTCAGCATTGATATCACAGTGTAAGCATTTGCAATGAACACATCGCAGCATCTGAAATGTAGAGTCAGGAATTAATTGTAGTCTATGCCATAGAGTTATGCTATAGATTTTGGTAAATTCAGTTGAAAAAAAGACATGATTTATTGTTACACTGCTGTAACTCCAAAAATTTACCAAAAACTTTATCTGTATTTGTAAGGTCTATGACTTTGTAAGCATTTCAAGTTTCAAATATTAAGCATTTGGACAGAACAATTTATATAGTTTGTAATTTAAAGAAAGTTTAAAGGAAAATATTAAGACAGTTTATGTACCTAAACACTTCTAGACTCCCAGGAAACTATAAAGTACAGTTCAGATGAGTTGTATCTTTACTTCTGTATTCATCAATGCTTGTGATTGGTTTATTATTTTTCATCCAGATGTGCCAGCCTACAAAATTTATACCAATCAATCTAAATTCTTTGACCGATAGAGCCATTTGACCGATAGAGCCATTTAAGTCATCTGGTGAAACTATACTTAATATCGCAATATGTATCGCAGAAAAATAAAACATCGCAATGTCTGTTTTTTTCCAAAATCTAGTGTGAATGAGTGTGTATAGATGTTTCCCAGTACTGGGTTGCAGCTGGAAGGGCATCTGCGGTGTAAAACATATGTTGGTTAAATTGGTGGTTCGTTCTGCTGTGGTGGCCCCAGATGAATAAAGGAACTAAGCCGAAGGAAAATAAATGAATAATTATGTGGGCTGGTCAGGATATCAGAGTTTGTTTTTATGCCTCTATACAATATGGGAAATTTAAGTATAAATGTCATTATTTCCTTTTATCACAGCTCACAAAAGCTATTAATTAAAATTAATGTTAAATTAATGTAAAATAAACAACATTAAAATTATTGTTGTTTCTGATTGTTGACTTATTCAAGAAAAATAAAAACGGCTTAGCCTTTTAATATACAGAAAATGACCTAGAGATTGCATTGTTTTTAATTAGCCTAAATAACAGAGGTGTAATAAACTGTAAAAGGATATTTTGTATTTGTTTGCAGAGTTATCATCAGAGTTGTTGCTAATAAATCTGTCAGTCAAAGTGAAACATAGTAAACCACACGTTTGATTTTTTTTTTACACAGACAGTTTGATTATTTAACAGTGGGTAACAATGGGTAACTTTTTTAATTGACTAATGATGATCAAACTTGAAGTGTTTCCCTCATTTTTACTTTGAAGAGAATCGCTTTGTATAAATGTAAATGAACCGCGCAAACACTACAGTTCGTTTTAATCCAAACAAACTACACATGTAACATGTTTATTCTGCCTAACCTTGTTGTCTTCTCAATCCACATTTTCATTCACTCGAAATTGTCCAGTTGTCAAAAGCGAGACATTTAATGACGCTTAAAATAAAACACGTATAGTTCATGAATCGGGTCCTGCTCATGAGAGAAACACCTGAATATAATATTACTGCGCATGCGTTAGATAGAGTTGTGACCTACTGTGGCGTGGCAACGCACTATATTTTCTAGCGGAAAGATGCCACTGGATGAATTCGGTAATTAAAATGCATTAAAAAGCATTGTGAAAAACATTGTCTTAATTAAAATGTCGGCATAATGTTAATTTAATTTTAAGGTACTAAATTGTGTCCTAATAATAATAATAATAATATATATATATATATATATATATATATATATATATATATATATATATATATATATATATATATATAACCTATACATTGTTTAATATTATATAAAATTATAGTTATACATGTGATGAACATGACGTGTGACGTTTTATGCTCTATAGGCACAACATTTTAAGATTTTATTATTGAAAAAAAAGTTATTATCTTCGTTCATTCATTCATTTTCTTTTCGGCTTAGTCTCTAGCCATATTAATCTGGGGTCGCTACAGTAGAATGAACCGCCAACTTATCCAGCATATATTTTACACAGCGGATGCCCTTCCTGCAAGCTGCAAACCATCTCTGGGAAACATCGATACACACTTTTTCTCACTCATACAATTCGGGCAATTTAGCTTACCCAATTCACCTGTACCGCATGTCTTTGGACTGTGGGGTAACCAGAGCACCCGGAGGAAACCCACGCAAACGCAGGGATAACATGGGACTTGATAGCAGAATCTGTGTACCTTGATATGTTTGTGGAACAAACTCTGCTCTCTGCTGGTGAAACGCAGGAAAAATACTCAGGACATGAAATCAAAAGTGGACTCGACTGGTAATAAACTGACCTATATTAAGATACAGAAATATAGATTAATTGATATGTCTCCTTTTCACAATGTAATAAACAACACTATTATTTAACTGTATCAAAGGGCAAAAAGGTTAATTTACTGTTTAATACATAATAGTGCCACGTTTAACCTACTTCAAAGCATGCTTTTTGCATTATATGTAGCCTAATTATTCTTATTTAAAATTATCTTTAAAGTCCCTTAAGTTACAGATTTTCATGGATGAGTGTGGGTGTTACTTTATGTTACTTTGTATGCCAACATGTTTTAAAAGCTGAGATTAGTTCTCCACAAAATTATTTACTTCCCCTTTCCAAACCCTATTAAAATTTGTTCATTTTCATAACACAATTGAATCTATTTTTAATATTCCTGTGATATTTTTGTATTAGTCTAAATAGACTAAAAGTCTATTTACCCAAAACTCAACTGCTTCAAAACGTCTTTTAACCAAATTTAATCAAAGCTTTCTAAAAACTTGACAAAAATATCAATTGAAAGGATTTCATTTGCAATATTGACTACTTATGAATGTTTAGAGTCGGGGTTTCAAAACTTTTACGTACGCGACCCAAAAAAAAAAAAAAAAAAAAACAATGCCAGTGACTTGCGACCTCTACATTCCTCGGAGGTGGTTATAAATATACAAATGTTGCACACACAACAATAGGCCTTTATAAATATGAGCATACTGACAACACAAAAAAAATGCAACAGTCAAACAACCATATACAATTTATGTAGTCATTTATTAATTTGTTTAATTTAATATTTACCTCATAATGAGACACAATGTTTTCAGCACAAGTCTAATCTTGGTTTAATTTTGGAGACCACCAATCATCAAAAAATGAAACCTGGTGCAATCTGCTGCAGCTGATTCTATTGTTGTGTTGTTAAACTAACATAAAACACACCAGTCCTAAAAAAAATTAACTCTCATGGCTTTTTATTTGCATGTTGTTTCTTTTTTATTTAACTATTAACTACTGTTTTTATCTTCTGTGGGTTATGGTTAAACTATTGTAATTCTAATAGTTTAATAAAATGTATCTGACTTCTGGAAATCACCAAGCGACCCCCTCATATTCCCACGAGCCCCAGGGGTTTCCTACCCCCACTTTAGCACTGGTTTAGAACATTTTATTTATTTGTTTTTTAAAGAAATTAAATCTCAGTCAATATTTGCTTGATTCCTGTCTGTCACATGCTTAAATTTCTGCAAAACCCAATGATCTTTGTTTTTTTTTTGCCCATTAAGTTTGTTTGGGCTTTTGTTATGTTACAGATAGACTTCAAAGTCTGAAAATCTACGGGCAGCATATATATAATGCTGCCCGTATTTTTTCAGTCTTTGATCATTGAAGTCATGATCATCTTTGGTCATGCAAGTAGTCATTCATTTATGGACCCATTATTTCCAACCATTTATTTCAGAAATCAGGCAATGTACAGATTGTTCTTCTAATCATACGCTGATCTTGCAGGTGAAACATGACTTTACAGTATCTGTCTCTAGCTTATACCATTATCTGTTGTGTAAAAAATATCAATATCAATATCAAAACATAAGTCCTAAATCAAACACATTACACACGGGTATAAACAATAAAAAAAACAACAACAAATAAATAATAGCTGCCAGTGTTCAAGCCAAATATCCTTGGCATGAACGAGGAATATAAATTAGCACTTGAAGTATGTTTATCCGCATTACAAAAGTAGAGAGGGGTTCCCTTTAGGAAAAAAAGAGACATTTTTATATAGCGTTATAATAAATACGTCAAGATGGTTGCAGCACTTTCACAGATACATGCAGTGACGACATTTTACACCGAAAGCATCTTCATACATATTTATATAAAGGTCTTGATGTCATGCTGTTTTTGCACTGTTCATTTACAGATTCATTGTGTTTATGATGTAAAAACGGTGTTTGGTCCTTCAACTTTTACATAAATAAATAGATACAAATTATTACTATTGCCGCACCATGTTGGATATGTAAATATAGCTGACTGTGGTTGATAGGATGAACAACAATCTGATATCAATAGTCGACTGCATTCTGTGACTCTTTCACATTGTATTTATGATCTCCCCCTGCTGTTTCTTTTAGTCAAACCCTTCAGTGTCCTCTCAATGTCAAAATATGATAAGACTTACATATATTCTGGTGCTAAATTCAGAAAATACAATAGTGCCGTAAAGTGGATGTATAAGAAAACAAACTGTACAAAAGTCATGTGCGCCTGATGCAACAACAGGGCCTGACGCAAAATAGAGCCTTATAATAAAAAATATAATTCACAGATGAATCACTGCTCAATCATCTATCACCTAATCACACAGAAAACACACATACACACACGCATAGTGTAAATGGAAATTCTGAACAAAAAAAGCCTAATGGAAAAAAAAATATTAATATAAGGGGAAAAAATCTTTGCATAAGATTTTTTTTTAAATAGAAAATACATACTAGCATTCAAAAGTTGGTACGATTTTAAGTTTGCAAGAATTTCTGCTTCTTAAAATGTATTTGAGTAAAAATACAGTAAAAACGGTAATGTTGTGAAGTATTATTGCAATTTAAAAATAGTTTAATTTTAATATTTTATCAAATATTTTTTTATGATGTCAAAGCTGAATTTTCAGTATTGTTTAATCAGTTGGAAATTTGGAAAACATTCATATAGCCTATGCTGATTTGCAGCTTATTAAAAATGTTGAAAACTAAAGCTACTCTTGTATTTATGTTGTTTTAAGGGAATTCTGATCATTCGAAATAAAAACGTTAATTTGAAAAATAAATGTTTTGCAATAGTGTAAATTTACTGTTCATCTCTTTAATATTTCCATGGTAAATAAAATGATTACTTTAAAAAAAAATCTTACTCACTACTTACTTTTGAACATCTGAAGTTTCTTTAACAAGTTTATGCGTAAACAATCAGGCCCGTAGCCAGGGGAGGTTCGGGTGGTTTGAAAGAACAATCCCCCAACTGACATAATTCCAAAATTTGTCCCATACATGATCTCATTTGTCCTATTTTGACTGCTATGCCATCATAAATATTGAAAACAACCCATCGAAAAAGACAAAGAAGAATCTAAAATAAACGGTCATCTTTTACTATACTGACCTATTTTATTTTTAAATGGATAAAACATTTTATTCTAAATATTGCACCTTATTACTGAAAGAAAAAAAATGACCAATAAGAAGGTGTAAAGCACCAAAAATACATTTTGAAGCACATAAAAGTTCATTTTAATACTGTTGTTATCCATGAATTTTCAAATGTACTTTTTTACAATAGAGGCTAAAAAAATCGGGAAGCTTCTACGTGATTATTATTATTATTATGTAAATGTTCTTTTTTTATTCAACCGTCCATATTCTGAATAAAGAAAGTAGAATGTGCTGGCCATTTTATTATTTGTTTAATAAATGACAATAGGCAACTTAGCTTTAAAAGGCAGTTTTCAACTTAAGATACCGGTCAAAAGTTTGGGGTCAGTTTTTTTTTAATTATGATTATTCTGTTCATCAAGGCGGAATTTAATAAATGTAAAAATAAAAGTTAAATTGTTCAATATTTATTCATTCATTTTCTTTTTGTATTAGTCCTTTTATTAATCCGGGGTCGCCACAGCGGAATGAACCACCAACTTATCCAGCACATGCTTTACTCCAGTCATTATTGCTTTTATTACTATTACATTAATAATAATAGAAAAAAAAATAATAATAAATAAATAAATAATAACAATAATAAATTAATATTAGAGTTATTTCTGAAGGATCATGTGACTTTGAAGACTGGAGTAAAGAAGCTAAAAATTCATCATTAAAATCACTGGAATAAATGGTTAAATTAAATTATGAACTACTTTTGAACAGTTATTTTATAGTGCAATAACATTTCACAATTTTACAATTTGTACTGTATTTTTGATGAAATAAATGCAGCCTTGTTGAGCAGGAGAAGCTTATTTTTAAACATTTTAAAATCCTTCTGATCCCTGGTAGTGTAAAACTTTATCAGGTTCCTTTTTTCCGAATGATATGTGATGAAAATAATATGTCTAAATAAGTTTTTTTTTTTTAATATTCCTTCATTTTAAATCTTAAGGAAATGTTTTTGTACATCAAAAAGTGTAGTTATGATGACCGCCCAATAAGTGAATCCAGAAATAAATAGTGCTTAAAATGTCACTAAAATGCAGTAGCTATTTGCACTATAAATATTTAACTTCGTAGTTAAATAAAAAATGAGGCGAATAACTGCAGAAAGGTCCAATATTGAGAGAAAAGAACCACCCCTTTCACCAGGCTGGCTACAGGCCTGACAATACAAATAAACAAAACAAAACAAAAAAACTTTAGCCAATCGATTATGAAAATTCTAAATGTTCTCTACAAAATATTATAATTTTATCTTACACAAATACGTTACTGAAATGAACTCATCTTACTCTTCAAGGGATTCTTCTTTTACTAATCTTTTATGATGCTAAAACGATAATAAATGATGCTTGAACTAAACTAAATGAAACGGTGAGACGGTAGCTAAATTCTGACACAAGATTTTGCAATAGGTTTGGTTCTGAGGTTTGTATCAGGATGTAGCTGTGTTTGTAAAAGGTAGATGGCGAATCCACACACTCACACTCACACACACTCATGTCTGAGTCAGATCTCTCTGCTCACTGTAGAATATTGGCACGAGGTTGATGATATAAACCAGTCAGCACTGGCATAAAGTGTCACTGGAAACATCCATTAGCTGTAGCTCTAAAAGACCCACCCGACCGGAACCCACTGCTGAACCCCCTTTAACTTCTCCAAGGAGGATTTGAGTGTACTGTAGGCCTCTTCCAAATCATCGTTTACTATAGTAAGGTCGAAGTAGTGTCCGTACACCCTCTGAATCTTGGCGCTCTCCTCTATGGTCTTCTTCAGCTCTGCGTCCTGTTGAGGTAAAAACGGTGCAATTTTTTTTCCACAGGCAAATTGGAGATTTTCAACAGCAATGTATACTGTGGTGAGACTTACTGTTTTTCGTTTTGTCGCCACTCCTGCCTCAATTCCAGATCTGTTCATGGCTTTCAGTACCTCAAACTCAGGGGCTTTAATGAACACCACGTACGGCAAAAACTCTGATGTCCTGAGCACTTTTAGGGTCTACAAAATCAAACAATTAAAAGCAATAATTCATCAGTGCAAGTAGAAATAGTGTATGTTATGTCAAATTACAGTTACAAAAATTACAGTTTGTTAATTTTCCTATAATTGGAGTTAAACCTTCTTTAAGGTGTAGACTGCAAAAAAATCAAGCAGATTTAACTATTATGAGATTGAATTATTGCTTAGTAAGGTCAACGGTTAAATTCATGCAGGATTACTTCTCTGAATTAAGGTTTGTTAGTTTGTTTGTTCGTTCAGTCGGTCGATGGATTGTTTAAAGGGCACCTATTATACCCCTTTTTCAAGATTTAAGACAAGTCTTTTGAGTCTCCAGAATGTGTCTGTAAAGTTTCAGCTCAAAACACCCCTCAAATGATTAATTATACCTTTCAGAATGTTGGAATTTTCTGCTTTGAACACATTGTAGCTGTTTTTGTTTTCTGTACCTTTAATGGTAGTTCTCCCCACCCACCGTTCACACGTGCCTAACAGAGTTTGGCTTAATCTCTGCCTCGGTTGCGTCAGATAAACAGCACAGTGACAGACATCAAGAATGCAGATCTCATATAATGTTTGTGAGAAATACAACGGTAAGAACTTTCCCAATGATTATTTGATGTATTTGTTGTGGAGTTGCAACGATGAGTCCCACACAATGTCATTACAAAGTTTACACATACACACACAAACACACACAGCGCACGCATTCAACTTTGCAGTGTTTTCGCATGCAAATGTGATAGGATACACTTTAATATCAACTGCTATATGGATATCTATTATTAATTTTTATTATATGTGTTACTACAGAGACATGGTAATATACAGCTGTCAATCAAATCGGTGGGCGGGGACACCGCACTCTTACGTCACAGTCAGCCTCAAAATGGGAGGGATTTGGATCTTATTTTTGAAAAAGAGGCTTTTACTTTGTCTTTATATAACCCCAATATGACTGTGGAAACACTATAACTGCATACAGTCCTGTCCAAACAGCTAACAAAAGGTGATTTTCATCATAGGTGCCCTTTAAAGTTCCCTGTTCTGTGTTTGCCGGTTCTTATTGACATTTCTTTAGCACAGTTCTGAACGTCTCATTTAATTTGATTATATTTTAAGCATGGTTATTATTACCTTTACATAAACTTTAGTACACATACAGTTTATTGTACACTTTGGAGTATATACTTTATACATTTTAATGTATTTCTGTCATTTACTCTTTTGTCTATCAGACTTGCCTGGTTTGTTATACTCATTGTGGTATGATTGTTTGCTTACGTTATTTTTTTGTGTTCGTACAATTTCTAAAAGAAAAAAAATAAGATGATGGGAAAAAACATTTGAAGTATTTTTTAAATGTTATTATGCAACTTGCAGGGATGTTCATTTAACTTATAAATGTTTGCTGTTTCAACATTTAATTAATAATTATTTTCACAATGTATGTTTGTAAAAGAGAGGTCTGACAGCCTCTGGTCAGCTTTTTCCCTTTAAAAAGAGTTTGTTAAGCCCTTAAATTTGGCCATCCTGTTTTCAGGACATTTTTCATTACATTTAAAAATATATATGTCTAAAGCTAAATATGAGACAGAATATGTATAATATGTATCCTATATATTGGGGCTGAATAATAAACCGTTTGAGCATTGATATCATAATGTGCTTGTCCGCAATAGTCACATTGCAAGATTAGATTTTATTATTAAAAATTAAAAGATAAAGATATTATTAAATATTATTATTGTATAAAATGATTTCAGTTTTTGTGCTGTTAGACTCCCCAGTAAACAGTATAGCACTGTTTATTTAACTTGTATTTTTGCCCTGTCATATTTATATATGCTCGAAATATATTACATTTTATGCAGATGCACTGCATAGAAAAAGACTTGATCATCCCAGTCAATCTAAATTTAAGTCATCTGGTGAAATTAGATTCATTTATCACAGCAAAACAAAATATCACAATGTCAGATTTTTCCAATGCAGCCCTACTGTATATCACCTATAATTTTGAAGTGGGATTTCCAAATGTGGGATGACAGTTAAGATGTTATTAATAATAATAATACTTTTTTACTTATAGGCACCCTTCAAAGCACTTAAGGACAGTATATCACAAGCATATCATAAAAATACAAGCAGTAAAAAGCAATAGACAGGACATTAAACCAGCAAATCATTAAAAGCTATCCTGAATAAAAAGTTTTTTTTTTTTTAAATAAATCATTTATTAAATAATGCATTGGTTTGTTTTCATGAGTGTTTAATATTTATTTACACCAGGGGTGCCCAAACTTGGTCCCGGACAGCTGGTGTCCTGTAGATTTTTATCTCAACACACCTGCATGGTTGTTTCTAAAAAGCCTGTAAGAGCCTAATTAGCTATTCCAGGTGTGTCTGAGAGGGTTGTAACTAAACTTTGCAGGACACGGGCCCTACAGGACTGAGTTTGGGCACCCCTAATTTACACTTTCAAATAGCATTTTGGAATCTTTGATCTTAGCGCTGACAACTTCTGATGCTGAAAGGATTCTAACACATACCTGTGGATTGACGTCCAGGATGCAGATGCGTCCAGCCTCCACTACCTCATGAATGGAGTCAATCTTGATGCCATAGAGGTTGCCGTCATATTCGCCATGTTCAAGGTAGCGGCCAGCTTTAATATCAGCTTCCATCTTACTCCGGGATGTGAAGGCATACATCATATTCTCTCTGTCTGCAGATTTGGCCTTTCTAGAGGTGTCTGTGGACAGTTACATAACAACAGCACTGTGAACATTAGACCATGCACTCAACAGCAAAACATTAACAGTGTCAAAAAATACATATCTTACAGAAATGACATTCTCAGCTACATCAGGTCATGCTCAGGTACATATCTAAAGCTACAATCACACTAGACTATAGGCACACTTTACTTTTATATAATCATCATTATCAGAGTTGGGCAAAGTTACTTTTAAAAGTAATATATTACAATCTTAGTCACATTTAAAATAAATAAACAAATATTTAGTAGCTTTTTAGATAATGTAAAATGATGTTGCATCATTAAGATTAAGATTTATTGTAGGTAAGATTAATATGTGTTATTACAAATGTAAAAAATCTACAGTAGGTTTCCACACAATCGATTATAACTGAAAAGGTTATGTATATTACATCAGGACATTCTAAAAATGTTTTGCAGCCCAGGTGTGAAAATCATTAATCTTTTGTTTTACTGACCACTGGCAGACCCCTAAGTGATGTAAATGCTAAGGGTAGGGTTCCAAAGTGCTTTTTGTGTCTATGAAGTTCAGGGCAATACTGCACCTATGAATTTGAACTGGTACAGTTATACTGATGATATCAGGGCTGGGGAAAGTCTGTCACAAGGCTAATTTCTTTTCATCATTTGCATGTTTTGTTTTTATTTGACTCCACCCCTATGTATTACAACCCCCTATAACACATACAATCTAGAGTGCAACATTGCACTAGTTAGACTTCTCACTTGGGACTTCACAAAAGACTTCTCTTGAAAGACTTCTCACTATAATTTCTTGGAAGACCTCTCTAGGATTTCTTGTTAGACTACTAATTAGACTTCTTAGAAGACTTCGATAGCTGCAGCAATACCAGCATGAACTCAATAAAGAATCATTCTTAAAGAGTTGAGTCATCTGGTGACTTCGCTTTTGACTTCACAACAAGAGGCTTAAGATTGTTATATGTTACATTTATAAGTAACTTTACCCAACACTAGTCATTATATAATACATGCAAAATCTGGGAGATTTAACATTTTATTCAGCTAAGGAATCCTTCTACATTTAAATTATTTTTTTTCAGCTAACGAATCCTTCTATTATAAACCTATACATTTTATTAGAAACCTATATTACTGGTCACACTTCTTTATTTCAGCATTCATCAAAGAAATCTTCTTTTGTATGGTGAACTATGCCTTTCAATGATGTGTTATATTTAAAGCAAAATAGCAGAACAAACCATTGAGATGTAAGTGGGATTTCTTTCACGATTTCCGAACAGCAGTCTTTAAAGTTTGCTTTAGCTGGTAAACACTTTCAAACAATCACTCCTCCATAGCATTTGCACAATAAGTTGTGCTCTGAGCCTTTGTCTTGTTTAATTAGAAAATCTCCAGTTAATCTGCTATGCTCAGTCTATCGTGGTCAGATATACACAAGTTAATACAATTAACAACATAGAGCTGCGTTTGTAGTAGAAACTGAAGTGTAATTCTCATTAAAAGCAACAGTGATTGGAGGCAGTATTTTATGCTGCTTTCTACCTCTAAATCAAGAATGAGACAGAACTGTGTTGTGAGTAGGGCCACACAGAATCTGCGGACATTTTTTGCTATTTCTGCTGAGAATTTTTTTCAAATCTGCAGATTTATGAATTTAGGAGTATCATAACTAAAAATGTAATAAATAATACCTTTTTAACTTTAATGTTATCCAATTAGATCCACTTATTTGGTAAATAAAGCAAGTCTCTCATATAATATATCTACCAAAAGACTTGTAAATAATTGTAAATAAATCATATAAACAAATTAATATTAGTCAATAATATTACTGAAATTAATAAAAAAAAAATAAAGAAATATAAATTTACACACATTTACACAGTAAATACACAGACTCAAAGATGGGCTAAAAGTCTTTCTGTGTGTGCAGATTCTGTGCGATCATAGTTGTGAGTACATTTGGTCATTCGGACTCACAGGGAATGGTGACGCCGTAGTGCTGAGGGTCTGACACCAGCAGCTTATTCTTCAGACTTCGTCTGCCCACACCAGGAGCACCAATCAGAATCAGTGTCTTCCTGCGAAATGGTGGAACTTTTGCCACCTCCTCATAAATCAGTAACTCGTGCCTGTCAAAATCTGTCAGGGAATAAGCCAGAATTGAAGGACTGAGGAACAGTGTCAAAATGGTTTACAGTTTGACAAAACCAGCATTTTAAACAAATAACACACCTGCATTTTTTGTAGTCAGATACATCATTTTCTTTTTCTTTTTGCCCACCATTCCACTGCAAAGATTGGCTGTGATGCACAGTGATAATGTTTAATGTTTGATTAAAATATTAGACATCAATCCACCAGATGGCAGTATACACAAATCAACCATTCAGTAAGGTTTGGGTTAAAAACAACTGAAATAAATCATAATTTTATTCAACAATGATGCATTCACTGGGATAAATGTGATTGTTAATGTATTTAGAATGCTACAGAAGATTTCAAATAAATGCAAACACCAATTATATGGGTAAATATGTCAAATACATATAATAGATTTAAAATATATATTTTGTCCTTTTATGGCAAAGCTGAAATTCCAGCAGAAATCTTTAATGTCATGTTATTAATTATTTAATATATCTGTATGATCACCTGCTGGTGAAAGCTCAACATCTCTCTTAACAAAAGCTTTCCTCTTCTCCTCCAAAAGTTGACTGGGAATCAGTCCAGCACTGCCTCCCTCCACATGACGTGCCTGCACACACACATCATTAAAATACACTTTCTTTAAAGGGCTTTATTTTCATCATGAACAAGCAGTATTACAATTTTATAGCTTATAATTTTTTTAGGCTGAACACTTTTTAAAGAGAAAGCTTATATCTTAAATAATAAGCAGATTGTCTTTAGTCATTTTACTGTTTAGCAAAAAGGTGTGCAAGAATTAAGAAAAGCCAACCTGCCACCAGTTCACATCTTCCTGGTTAACAATCTGCAGGATGTCTCCACTTGAGAACATTAGTCCCGCCTCCTTGCATGGAATGAGGTTGTCATTGGCAGGATCATAATCACAATGGCACTTCACAAAAACCTGTGGAAACCAGAATGAAAGTGACCCTAAGTGAAATATAATATGCATTAATGTTACTGATCTAACCTATTTGCAATATTCAAAATTTTTTATTCATTTCAATTAATATCTAATCAGTTTTTGTATTAGTTATTCTAGGAAGTTATTCTTATTTTGAGACATTGAAATTGAGGGTCTTGCTTTTAGAAAAATATTGCAGTGTTTATTATAAATTGTTTATCCATGTTTAACCCTACTAGTTCTTATTGCCCTGCTCCAAGTGGGGTTCAAACTGGAATTTTCACACTAACAAAGATATCAAAGATTAAGTAATAATGTGTCAGTCACTAGTGCACCTCTTCAGGCCAGGGAAGTGATGTTTATTTGAGCAGACTGTACTAGCTGGCCTCCTTTACAATTATCCCCATAAAACCCTCACTCCTCCAATCTGATGTCATGACAGCAATGTTAAACCTGGTTCTACTTGATCACATTTTGGTCACGGCACCAACGTGACACCTCAGGTTCTACTTGCCCACATCCAGGTCATGGCACAAATGTGCCACATCTGGTTTTACTTGATCACATCCGGGTCATGGCACCAATGTGACACCTCTGTTTCTAATTGCTCCCATCTGGGACATATCAGTAACAACTCGGGATTAACTTGCTCCCATTCAGGACTTAGTACCAATGTAATTCTGCATCTCATCATGACCCAAGTGAGATATAAATCAGGACTTCCAGCATGGTTGAGTACACTTAGGGCGTACTCACACTATGCTATCCGATTCGTGCCCAGGTGCATTTCCCGGTTCGTTTGACAAGTATGAGTGCTCTGAATCAGGCTTAGGTGCGGTTCAGTTTGCCGGCCCTGGAAGAGGTGTGCTAGAGAGTGGTTTGGTTGAACTTTGCCACGGTACGTTTGTTGTATGAGTGCAAAGTGTACTAGATTGAAACTGAAGACGCGACGTGACTTTTAAGGGACTGTTACATATAGATTTATTAATCATTCTTACTTTTCAATGAGCGTGCAACATGATTTCGGCTGGCGGGGCGCATATTTTTTTTTTGAGACTCGAGCGAACAGTGCGCACAGCTCCACACTTGATTTGAGTTGAATATGAATCACTTTGAAGATATTTTGTGTAAAACAGGATGACTGTACACACATCTTTATGATCCGTGATTATAGAGATAACCAGATGACCAATAATTCTGGCTAGAAACTGCAACAGCTGTGGGAAAGAGGACAGTTTTTGTTAAAAAGTTTGGAAAAACCTGATGGATATGTTTGTTAAAGCCAAAGAGGCCATGGCAAATGTAGAGACCCAGGATCACAATTACAGAAATATGTTTTTTCACCAGTCATGGGTTTTACACTGATGTGTATATTACAATTTTTTAATTTAAAACAAATTAATATCAAAACTATAATTAAGGAACAAATTATTTCTTTGATAACTGGAAAGATATATTTGAACCTATCGGTTTACAATATACTGATGCCTGTTTCTCTAGGCTTAATGTTGAACCATTATTGCCTTTTTACCATAAGTATAGCACAGAAACTAGCCAGACAATAATGTGTGAATTGTGGAGCAGGCTAAATCAAAAAAAAAAAAAAAATCTGTATTTTTTAGTAAGTGTACTCTGTTATTTTGCTTTTATTCTTGCCATAATAAAATTATTTTTGTAGAGCAGCCCATGTTCTCGTCATTAATATTTTAATAAACTTTAAAAGGTAAAACTGTCCAAGATATGAACAAAAGCAAGTAATGCATCAAAGTTTAACAAAAAAAATCTTGAATGTTATAAAAATCCTATTCTAAAATAACAAATAGAATAATTTATAAATCAATATAAAAATAATTTGTTTAAAAATATTGAATGATATTAATGACATGACGTAGTTCTGGAAAGTTTCTATTTCTCTGTTTATCCATCTGACTTTATGGTCAGTTTCTTTTGATCGCCCCCTGTCGTTTTAAAGGTTATCACAATTCAAACACGGCAAGTATAAAAGCCTCGACTGTTTCGCGAGGTGCGCGCGCACTCAGCGGAGGTGTGCGATACGGCACCAGGCAAAAGTATAAATCCAGGTTTAGAAAGATGCAAAAGCCCTAGGAGTCAGTCTAGAATTGTGGCTTGAGGCCAGGACAGTGAAGTTAACTCATTTACATTTATGCAATTGGCAGACATTTGCTACATACACTGAAGGTAAATGTTTTATCAGTTCTTGAATTTCTCTGGGAATCGAACTGAGAACCTTGGCATTGTTAGCGCCATGCTCTACCATTTCAGCTACAGCAATCCTACTCGCACAGTATTTGTTAGCTGGCTTTTGTTACACTTAGGCCCCGTTTACACTAGTGCGTTTTAGTTTGAAAACGCATAAGTTTTGCTACGGTTACGCCATCCGTCCACACTACGCCGGAGTTCTCGAGCGCCGAAAACGGAGCTTTTTGAAAACGCTGGAAAGGCCGTTTTCATTCTAAAACGCTGCTGCTCCGTCTCAGTGTGGATGGGGAAAGACGGAGACATCTGAAAACGGAGGCGGGGCTGCAAACGTTCGCCTATCTGATTGGGGCTTTTCCTCAATATTAAGTAGCCCACACACAGTTCAGTCTCGCATCCTCTTCTTGTAAGTTAAGTCTTCGCAAGTTTGATCAAGGCTGCAGTCTCCCCCTTCTCAGTTTGATATGGAAAACATACCGAGGACACGGGTAAATCTTCAAAGGGAACAGTGTACTTTATAACTTCATTCACATCACCTTGGCTACGTTGTTTCACTTTCTCAACAATAAAATGTAAACATGATTTAAGGAACTGCCTATTTTCTTTTTAATATTAGCAACTTAACAGACAGCAGAAATGTTGAGGCGCCGTGCTGCATATATGAGCGTCATCTTCACTGTGTGGATATTTATAACAAAACGGAGCCTATAACAACTGCCTCCTTTCAATTTCAGTGAAAATACGAAACGCACCCTCTCTTCTGCTGAATATCAGTTTTAATAATCGATAATTATAAAAGTATAACATACAATAAGTTTATACATTGTAGGAAATAAAGGCAAGCGATCAGTCAATGTACCTGGATTAATCATTAACTTATCTTTGCACTTAACCAAAACATGTTACCCGTGAACAAGTAACTTAATAGATTCCAATGACCAAAGTCAGGGAATTGGCCTATGTCGTTAGATAAAAACAACAACATGAATGAAATATCACGTTTAGCAAATATAGTGAGATTAGATCCAGCGGGAGATGCTTGATGAGCAGTCCGACAAGCAGAGCTCTCATCTGGTTAGAAATGCTGGAGTGCTTGCCCGAGAGTGTGTGTGTGGTCACGTGATGTGCGTTTTCAGCGTTTTGGTGTGGACGGAGAGCTGTTCAGAAACGCTGGGTAAAACGCGAGTGTGGACGCGGATCGTTTTTATTCTACAACGCCGTTTTAAAACTAAAACGCACTAGTGTAAACGGGGCCTTACTCTCCATTCTTCAGCTTGCCAATGTAACACCTCTAAAACTACTCAGCCCTTCTAGGACTCAAATTTAACACCTCAGGTTCTTCCTGACATCCTGGTCAAGTCACCAATGTAACCCCTCCAGTTCTAGTGAGTCACTTTTGGGTCATGGCCCTTCTGGATTCAAACCTTTGTTTCCAGCATGAGAGTTGTGAACTCTAACATGGATGCTAAATACGGCATTCCCAAATATACCCATTGAGGACAAGGGCATAAGATTTGCTCATATAGTTTCTTTTAAGCTGGCATATGTTACACTTCTTTTAATTAAAAAGAGTAATGTTTACATAAATTGTTTCAATTCAATCCATTTTGTTTTCACTGGACCAACCAATCAATCCATTCCCAATGAACAAAATCAAGCTTCCCCCTGCATTTTGAGAAGCCGTTTAAGAAGCCGTACTCAGATAAAAACATCACAACAGGAAATAATATATAAATCACACATGAATCTTCTTTTTTATGCTGACTTTAATCTAGAGAATTTAAAAATGCTAAAGTGTCCACCGAGATCATCTGGCATAAGCCTTAAGCTCACAGTCCTCTCAAAGTAAACACATCTGGCTTTAGATGAGAGTGAGACTCACTCCTTACTCTAGTCTCCATGACAACAACGAAAGAGCAGCTGAGAAAAAAAACAAGTGGAAAGTAGATAGCTGTGATCTGCATATGTGGATGTTTCAAAACAACATGAGATAAAACACTAGGTAAAAACTGGGTCAATGATATCCAAAGAACCCTGGCAGAAAGGCACAGAATACGTCTCATTTTGTATTTAGGATAAGGAGCTGGTACCTGTCGGGGGGGATGTGGCTCCTGGTAGCTGGGAAGGATTTTGAGCACAATATTGCCGCTGGTCTCCTGCAGTACCTCCTGCAACACTCGAGGGTCGTCACCCACCTCTCTCCCATTCACCTCTTTGATGATGTCACCCACGTGAAGCAGACCCTGCTGATCAATCATCCCCCCATGGAGAATACGGGCGATCACCAGCTCTCCATTCTCAATACGAAATGTCACACCCTAATACAACAAGATAGCAGCAAAATAGCAGCAGTGCATTTTAATCATTCAAATACCAACACTTCCCCATCACTTTTATGTATTTTAGATTGCATTTTTACAATTACAATTAAAACTTGTATATTCACAATTTAACTATATATACAGTGCTTTCCACAAATAGACTTTACTTGGGCGGGTCACATGACCCACAGGACCCACAGAGACGTGGCTTTTTTAGAACTTAAATACATCTATACAGGATTTCTAAATCTCCTAAAATATCCAGAATTTGGCTTTTGATTTTGCTTTCTAAAGTATTAGTTAATTAAATGCGTTTTTGCATAACATTTTTATTTTAAGCCTGATTTACTTTCGATTGGCTTCACAGCTGACAAAAATTAACTCTTTGATCTAAATGACTCAGATCAACTTTTCTATTGACCTTATTCTAAAATGCGGAAGTGCGCCTGTTTTCGCGATTGTCTTAGAACTTCCGATTCAGTCGCCTATGGGAGAAATGACTAGGTTAATAAACGGCAGAAAATGGCCAAACTACTTGCTCAACAAACAAATGTTTGCATGACTACACAGACAAAGTAGCATAATATAATAAGAAAATATTAAATTGCAACATCAAGCAGCGTAACGAGCAGTTGTTAACGTCAAAAAATGAATGGAAGTGAATGTGACCGGAAGTCGCGAAACAAAAAGATTCAAATGGCAGCGCCCACTCGTCAGCTGAGAATAAGGTGAATACACTCAGAGAAGACGAAATGACATCTAAACTGGCTGCAAAATATTTGTACACCATTAGAAATGGTTAACGAACTAATTTGCCTTATTTTAAAGATCTACATTTTTTATTCTTGTAATTATTATACTTTTTTACTTATACTAAGATTTTATTATATACATGTTTTTATTCCTTTATGTCATTTATTTCTCATTTGCTGTATTTTTTTTATTTGATGATGTTGATATATTACATATTTTATACACATCTGACATGCTTTGGCAATATTGGATAAAATGTCAGCAGCACATTTTACATATTAGTGGGTGCACATGGCTCCTGACTAGAATAAAAGTAAAACAAATATTCAACAGTTTTTTTTTTGTAAAGAAACAGTGTATAACAGTGTATAATAATTAAAAATATTGTTAAAAATATTTCTGTTGTTGCATGTAAGCAATTATATACACACTGTATACTATATATATATATATATATATATATATATATATATATAGACACAGAATTTAATGACAATTGCCTCTGCATTAGTTTCTCTTGATGCGTTTGATTACGTACAGGCAAGCACTCAGTTCAGGTCGACGCAGGAGGAAGATATGAGGTAAGGCAGATATGAGTTTTTGTTCATTTGTCAAGTAAATAAATAAATAATTTTGCCTTTATGCTCGTCGTGCAAGTTCATTATTAAAATATGAATGAAAAAAGCGATTAGAAAATATGGTCAATAATAAGCTATGACGGAATTTTTACAACCCTCTCCATCAAAATGACAGACAATGACAAAGTCTAACGCGGCCTCTGATATATATATATATATATATATTTCTGATTAACAGAAATATGGTGATGTGGTGGCGCAGTGGGTAGCATGTTCGCCTCACAGCAAAAAGGTTTGAGCCTCAGCTGGGTCAGTTGGAATTTATGTGTGGACTTTACATCATTCCCCCCGTGTTCGCATGGATTTCTTCCGGGTGCTCCGGTTTCCCCCATAAGTCCAAAGATATGTGGTACAGGTGAATTGGATATGCTAAAAATTGACCGTAGTGCATGAGTGTGTGTG